TATTTGTTTGTATCACCTACACATTGATTTTAAAGTACAACACCTCTTCCCAGCTGTTCCTTCATTGCGGTGCCCTCAGAGATGTCCACATCTGTTACCTCAGAGTTTGGCAGAGGAAAGAAGAATACGTCTCAGTGTGGTCAAGGAGCTGGGGGGAGGGTCTTGTTATCTGGCAAAATTATAATACAAGCCCTGGGATAACCTGTGCTTCTTTATATTTTTCCCAGTAAATTGTTCATGTCTCCTATGAGAACGATCCAGTGCAGCACAGTTCTAAAACACGGAGGATGTCTCTGATTTCCTTGAGCCATCACCCAAAGGTAAAACACATTCTTCTTCACCAAGCCCCCCACTGCAACTGGTAAATACTTTGCCTTGGTCACGGCACATGGCGTCGCACACTCCTTACTTTCAACAGACATTCCTAAGGGGGTTTTCCAAAAGGAGGTGTGGAAGAGAAACCCAGTCCTTTTTGTTTCAGATCCCCTGCGCTCCTTGATTTGGAACAGGATGTGAACATAGTGCTCCCATTGCCCACCTGAGTGCCCTAACCATTAGGCTATACTGGGATTTTTCTCAAGCCCTCCTCTTGGAGTGGTTCCATTTTTGTAGAATTAAATATTCATTGGCCCAGGGACCAGAACTCACGCCCCCAACCTCCCAGGTGAGTGCATGAATCACTGAGCTACAAAGGCAATTGCTCTTACTCTGGCCCAATGAAGCAGGACACTCCTCTGGGATATGAAAACTCCAAGTTCACGTACCTGCTCTAAATAAGGCAGAGCAAAGATCTGGAACCAGATCTCCCACATCCCAAGAAGGCCCTGACCAGCAGGCGAGTAAGCGCATGCATATACACAGGTTGCCCTCAGCTGTCTGTTGTGCGAGACCTAGCCAGTTGGCATGCTCTGAGCACCGCGACCAGATCAAGCCCTGTCAGCGAGACAGGCGGGTGGACATCTAGGGGTGTAGGTGTGAGCTAGGGCACCTCGCAGCTTGGCAGAGTCTGGACTTAGGCAGTTTTGCACATGCTCACCTGTGTGAGCTAAGGGGCTATGGGGACTTTACTGGCAGAGATCTAGGCAACTAGGGAATTTAGGCACCCACAAGTTTAGAGGGTAACTGAGGAGGAGCTGTGAAGATCTCAGCGGTGCCTAAATGTTGAACTTTGGCAACCAAGTCCCTTTATGAATCTAGCTCTTCTTGCTGCCTATATTTAAGCAATTAGTTTGGCTGTCTCTGCATTACTAAATCTAAACAATTCTCGCCTAGTGTCCTCAGAGGATTTTTGTGTTATGGATGTAAACAGTCTGAATGAGCTCTCCTCTGACATCTAGTGGTGAGCTGTGCAAAAGGACTTCAGGAGTTGATCTCGTTTGCATGAGCACGCCCACCCTGCTTAGACACTCAGCATGATGGAATTGCTTGCCCAAATAATTATGTGTGGCTGGGGCTGGATCCCCAGTCTCCCTGTTCCTGCGGCAGGAGTAATAAAGGGGCTGCTATCCTTGCGGTGTGAACTGAGGGCAGCAGAACTGTGCCTGGCATACCCCAATGGAGGGCCTTACCCTCAACTGAATGGCACTTGCTAGGCAGGGGACATGGGTTCCAAAGCCCAATGAGTTGAGAGAGGGTGGGGACAGGTACTTGGCGGTGAGGGCCCTGTTTAAGGTCCTGGACACCATTTAACCCTCGCTCTCTCCACAGTATAATAAAAGAAGTAATTTAGACTTAATTGAGAGTCTTGTTACGCGCTGCAAAGCTGAAATCACTGATACCTAGGCCTAAGTATTAGACCTATTTTGGGACAGTGTTTCTGGTGCAAGAGACTGCCCAGGGTGCACCAGCAATGAGGCATTCCCCTCTTCTCCCCCCGACCCACCACTAACAGCTGAGATCATTAAGATCTGTGTTAAGTGGTGGGCCCTGAAGACATCTTGGTGAGTGGGAAGCTGGCAGAGCAGCGTGGCTAGCAAGGCGGCTGGCAGAACGGCATGGCAAGTGCCCAGTAAGGTAGCTAGTGGAGAGGTGTGGCGAGCGAGTGTCCGAGCAGCAGAGCATGTAAGGTGCCTCTTTACCCCCCAACCCCCCACTTTCCAGCCAGGGTGGGAAGTGAATTCTGCAGATGAACTTCTGGACTCTGGGGCTGCACTGACCAAGGACTGCACCCCACTCACAGTTGCTGAGAAGGGACGCGCACGTTAAAAGGACTTTTGGGTTGCTGGACTTTCGAACCTGAGGGGAAAAGGACATTGCTCAACTTACTTGGGGATGGGTCTTTTGCTCTGGGTTTATGTTTATGAACATACTTGTGGTGTTTTCCCAAATTAATGCTGAGTTACTTCCCTCCTTTTATTAAAAGTTTTTGCTACACCCAGACTCTGTGCTTGCAAGAGGGGAAGTATTACCTCTTACAGGAAGTGGTGTCTAATTGTCCCAGGTCACTGGGTGAGGGTTTTGAGCCAGTTTTGTGTTGTATTGTTGAAAAGGAACCCCTAGATACTGAATCCGGCCCTCGTTGCTGCCAATTCTGACTGGCAGAAGGGTTACATGCTGTTAATTCACTAACAGGACTGACTGCCTTATGTAATTATTGCCTTTAAAACTAGCCCTCACTTGCGCTCGTGCAACTGTATTTCCAGCACACTTGCACAGGTTTAACTGGGGGCAGAAAGAACCATCACTTACCTTACCTGCTGACTCTGAGATATTTTGTCCAGGTGGAGCATGCTTGTGTGCACCTGTGCCCTATGCCTACAAGATCAGAATCTTTGACCATTGGGCTGCGCCTGTGTCCTGCATGTCCTTGTGTCCCCCAAACTGAGGGCAGGTAGGGCAGAGCAGCACCGGCTACCTCCTTTTCCTCGCTAATCCCAGCATTACCAAACCCACAGGTTCAAAACTCCTGAGTTAGACCCCCAAAATCCTGAGTTGTTTTAAAAAGACAATATTGAGGATTTTTTTTGGGGTCTGCCTTTATTTTTGAGCTCCCTCTGCCCATCTCCAGCATGTCTGTGAGACTTTCAGCTTTTACCATCCAGAGGGGATAGATACAGGCACCTCCACCAGTAACAGGACTTTTTTCTAAAAGGGAATTTATTGCTTATGAAAGGTCATTTTGTGGACTGAAGTCCTCTATCTACAGAACAGGCTCAGCAGAGATTGTACCTTGCAAGCTTCCGAGCACTGTCCCACCCTTATTCAGGGGGAGCACCTCTAGGGATGAGGAGGGTTCAATCATTTATCAACCCCAGGCATACCTTACTGTTTTGCAAATCTAGGCTTCCTCCCTTCCACCATGTCTCCCATCAGTGTCACTTCCTCTTACCAAAAGGGGTCCCTGTTTCTGATCAGTCACCCACAGCAGCTGCCTTTAGAACCAAAGGGTACCCCCAGCGTCCTTCGCTTTAGCTGCATAGTGCTTCAAGAAGCAAATGTACAAAAGGATTTGGGGGCATGTTTGGAACTGCTGCACACAAGTGAGCAGAAATAGGAAACCCTTTTTGGAGTGGGGTGAGTAAGCAAGTGGATAGAAACTGCAGGCTGAACAGGAGTTTGGGAATGAACTGAAGGGAGTGATCAGAGACACTCTTTTGCTGCTGCACTGAAAGTGGCACTGTAGGCAGACAGCTTTAGCCTATGACTAAGACTGCCTTGTTCCTCCATGCCCCGTTAGCCATTGTTCTCTGCTGTGGCCACCACCAGCCCTCCATCATTGCAATAGCGGGTTTGCAAGCAACACCTGTCTACTAGATATTGGACTGAAATGATCAGAATTCATTTTCTATATGCTACCAAACATATTTGATAGAAGTTATTTGCAATCGCTACCTAGGTGGGCTATATTTCAACCAGTAATCTAGGCGCTATTCAGGGTGTCTTCGTGTTGTATTACCCATCCACTGAGCAATCCAGGACCTCCTGTCCAAGAATGACTTTTAGACTGGGTCACTGATCAACACCTCAAAAGACGAACTTAAAAAAACATTAAGTCACAAAACGTTAGAGCAGATGTTGCACTGTGACTTCAATTATAAGTGTGCTACAGTCACTCCTTTCTTGCAAAATTCTCCCATTGGGCTGAAACATTCCAAAAAGAAAAGGAAAGGGGAAAAAATAGGACACAATCTAATCTTCTGATTGATACCAAAAATGGAGGTTTGGAAGAAAAAAAATCTGTCCAGCTATTATTGATGGGGGCTGGGGGGCATTCTAAATATAATTTCTCTGCTTTAAAAAAAAGGAAAATCTTCATACACATAGGTCTAAAAGACTCGAGCTTGCAAACTTCACATGTAGCTAGTCCGCAATGAAGAGCTGTTGCTGTGCAAATTATAACTTAATTTTTTGCAAGGAGATTAAATGTTTACTTTAGTGCATGGCAAATAAATCATTTCTACTCTGGTTTAAGATGAGCAATTAACTGAGGCACTGTAACTATGCAACACACACAAACAAGTAGTTTCATAACAATGCAGATAGCGTTTCCCCTCTCCCCTGGCAGCTTATTTTTTATTAAAAAAAGAAAGAAAATTAAAAACTAAAAGTTTTGTTAATGAATCATTAACATTATGAGTTTACTGTACAACCAAAAAAGACACCAAGTTCTCATAGCAATGCTAACTGATCCGTATTGTTCCTATTTATTCATGTATGCAAATATCAGTCTAATTAGTAATCAATACAGGCTTGCAATGTGGGTAAGTAAATGCTGCTGTAAACACGTTAGCATTTGCCTTTTGTGTGTGTAAGTTTTGCATCTTTACCGTTGCATGTGTTTTGTTATGAAACATAGGTCAGACAAAAACATGGCTCTCTGCCAGGATCCTCACATATCCCCAGCTCCTTCCAGAGAGATAAAAAGGGCAGATAAAGTTACAGTCAACCAATTGGAACTGGGTGGTGCCTTATGACTGTTGAAAATTTCACTCAACAGGTCTATAGTCAAAGGTACTTTCAACTTGGACTGCCAACAGCAAAATTAAAAATATACCCATCCATTTTAAGTCACTCAAGTAGCTTTTATTGAACTCTTTATAATGTACATTGAACTTTTGTGCAATAAATTCAGCACATTGTATTGAATATTTTCCCTTTAAAACATAAAAGACTTCCCTTAATCACCGTAGAGTAGCTTAAATGTTGACATTAAACAGTAAGAAAGAGCGCTGAATGAAGTCTGCAATGGCTAACGTCATTTAAAACAGTGTATTACTTGCTGCATGAAGCTCAGTATTGCAATCTATAGGTTAAGACAGCACCCAGTGGTGAACTCTGTGAAGATTACGTCTGTCCAACAGGAGCAATTAATTGAATTACATGGAATTCTGGAGAGACAAGGTGAGAGAGACAGTGTCTTTTATTGGACCAGAAGCTTTGAAGCTACAGGAAGATCTGTGTAGCTCAAAAGCTTGTCTCTATCGACAGAAGTTGGTCCAATACAAGATATTACCTCACCACCTTGTCTGTCTAATATCCTGGGACCGACACGGCTGCAATTACACTACATACATGGAATTCTGGAGTCAGCCACAGAAATGGCATGATTGGAAAAAGAACTTTAAAGCTCTCTCTAAATCCTTATCTGACACATGAAGTTACTAGCAAACCTTGCAAAGATGAATTCCACAGATTTAGTTGAAAAATTGCCTTCATATAAGAAAACTCTAATGTTTTTACAGAGTCACTAGTAAACCAAAAGGGTTGAAATTTAAAGAGAAGACATACAAATGCAATGCAACATTTCAACAAATATCCCTATGTAAAGTAGTTTTAAGTAAGGTAGCCAGCATCCGTTCACAAAATCTAGATAATATGGAGGGTGCATACACACACACACACACACACACCCACCAGTAAAAATAGTTCTATTCAAGCTTTCGACATAAGACTTGAGTTTCTCTCTCACACACACACTTCTCTGCCAGCCTTATTTGGTCTTCACAGCACAGTAAATACAGAGATTTTTAGGCAATCCCGACCCACAGTTTGAGAACCGCTGCCAAAGAATACACAGGGAGTTTTGAACAGACCGCTGCATTTGATTACTTTTTCTCCAAGTCATTTCAGGACTGGGACGATTCTGCCAGATGCAACGGTCTATTAGATTCCCTCCGAATGGTACTGTTCCATCGATAGATAATTACTTAAATCAGTCCAGGATCAAGTGGAAGGGAGCATTTCTTTAATGCAATCTAAACTGCTCACTGGCTCCAAGCAACAGGGAGAGTTTTTAAGTCTTTCAGACACTTTGTGTAACTTTGTTATAACAGTAACTTCAGGGGATTTCTGGTGTTGAGGTAATCATACCCTGGGTTGAACAAGCTTAGAGGCCAAAGGCAGAAGCCTTTAGTAGCCATGGACATGACATTAAAGAGTTAACATGAAGCAGCCTGAAGTTGTTATTATGATGAAATTTTTTAATATTCAACTTTTAAGAGTAAAGAGAAGCAGTTACAAAACAAAATAGAGACTGTCATGCTACAGAAGGTAAAGAAACCTCCAAAGCCAGTCTTAACTCTCATCTCCCATTACACATTAATTTCTCTCCTCTCCAGGCCAGCAAGGCTACTGTCCCCAGAATAACTAATACTTTTGTTTACAGTTTGTGTTCAAAACTAAATTGGGAGGCAGGGGCTGCAGATTTTCAAACTGCAAAGCAAATGTGACAGCATTTGTGGGGCTAAGAGACCTGCTGACCTGCAGAGATCAAAAGAAGGAGGGAAATGAAAATACAGATGGGTGACCCCACCCAGCTGTATTTTCATTATATACATACATACATACATATATATATATATATATAAATCCCTCTTTTAGTTGATTGACAGCTGCAGTTTCTTTGGGAGTTTTTGTCTGGCTTTTTGTGTAAACTGTAGAATTTTTCTGCTACAGCTAGAGGGAGTGAGAAGCCGAAACAGCAACTCTGTGCTGCAGAGAGCTTTATTGTGGCAAATAACTTATCAGAGGAGGATCACAGCAGTCATAATAGAGATAGGAAGTAGATTCTCCCCCTGCCCCCCATAACTGTAGAGTTATCATGTAAACCACTGCAGAGTGGCCGAGAGCTGCTATTAGCCAGAGTACAGGGTTAGGGGGACTGAACAGTTTGAGAAAGGGCAACACTAAACTAATGCAAGTCAGATACAAATGAGAGACCAGAAGCCTCTGTAGCTAAAAGAAATCCATACAGTTACACCTAGCTAACTGCACAGCATCCCCTCCACTGTGACTGGCTCAGACAATGCCACTGCAGTGGGGCACTGGTAAGTTTGGTCACAGTGTATTCAGTACACTAGTTAAATGTTATGGGCCAAATTCTGTCCTCTCTCAGACATATGCAGCCCTATTGCCTGTAGTCCATTATATATGTCTAAGTAAGGGTAGGATTTTGTCGTAGTTGTGTTTATGTTTTGTTATACATCACAGAAGCTAGTGTTTCTTCCCTGCAGTAACATCTAGAGTTCAGAAGAACTTGAGGAGCCAGGGGGCTGCTATGAAAGGATCTTACAGGGCCTCGCCTTGCTCCTGCCGGGAAAGAATGACGTTGTATAACCCAGGTGTAGGCGTAAGACCTTCAGTTCAAGGTAGGTCAGTCTTAGATAAAAGTTTTCAGGGGAAAGGTCTGCCTTCTTGTCATGCATCAAACATGCCATAACCGCTAAGAATTCGCTCTTTAAAGAGCTTGATCTGATTTTGATTTATTGTCGTTTACACATGTGCTTATTCAGCCAGGCAAAAATAAATGATATGAGCTGTGTCTTCACTAATAAAAAGGTGTGGCTTTTATAGTAAGACCACTTGCTTGTGTTAGCTATCTCACTGCCATATTTCAGTCAAGACAAGGCAAGTGATAGCTCTGACTCAAAACAGCTGCTGGAGGTAAACCCTAGAGTTGGAGTCCAGGATTTACCTCAACCCTGTTTCAAGTTAACCATCGCATTGTGAAAAGATACAGAAATGTTTTACTAGGTAAGGCATACCCATATTGTCACCAAATCCACAGTCTTTGACTTATTCTATGTTAATGAACAACACACAGTCTCACAGGCAGTCTTCCTAGATTGCTCTAGTCTCAGCTTCCAACAAAATGGCTTGGCTGTTCACTTTATTACCTTCAATTAAGTGTTAACAGTGTATTAGACTTAAAATCAGTGAGGTCTAACATTTGTTTTTTATATAAATGCTATCCAGGTCAACCAATTTCAGGAGGCTGAGAGCTAACAATCCTGAAAAGCTCTGCAACACTTAGATGTGCTGTTACATCACAGTAGTCGGGATGATTCCAGCTGTGTTGTTTTTAACATTCTAAAAATAAAAACATGAGACAGAACATTCTAGCGAAGGAAAAGAGAGAAAGAGAGACATGATTCTTTCTAGAGATTGTAAAATGCCATGGAAGATGTTGCAAACAGAGTGGTCCTTGAACTTAGGTGGCCCTTCTTTCCCGCTCCCGTGCAGTCACAAAGTTAAGCAAGTCAATGGCTGTAACAACGCCAAACACCATCTGTCTCTTACTGGAGGAGCCGTCACTGAGATCTACAGAAAAACACAAGAAGATTTTTCCTACTTTGCAAGGCTCAAACCAAACACACATACTCAATTTTTATCTACTGCTGCCTAAAACTAGAAGCCAACTATGACTCCAAAATACTAGAGGCCTGCAGGTCTGGTTAAGCCAACCTACCCAACCGATTGTACATTCAGATGGAGGTGAGCTGCCATTCTTATTGACAGCGCTCTAGGAATTACTGAAATGAAAGCCTTTGCTAAATTTCCTCATAAGGTTGCAAAGGAAACTAAATAGTCATGGGAAGAGAGGTAAATTTATGTCATGGATTAAGAACTAGCTGAGAGATAAGAGTTTGGAATAAATTGTGTTTTCAACATGGAAGATGTTAGCAATGTAGTGCCTCACGTTGCTGTACTAGGAGACTTAATACTTCGCATTATTTGAATGATCTGGAAATGGGTTGAACAGTGAAGAGGCAACATTTGCAAAAGACAACTGTTTAGCTTAGTGAAGTCTACAGGGGCTTGAGAGTCACTTCAGAGGGATCTAACAAAGGAAACAAATGGGTAACACACTAACAGGTGAAATTCTGTATAGAAAAATGCAAGGTAATGCACAATGGAAAGAACAATTTGAATGACTCTGATGCTATGATGTGTTCTACAGTAACTTTAAGAACCCACAAAAAAAGCTAGAGGTCAATCAGAAAAACCTTTTCTCAATGCAAAGCGGTGCATTGTCACAATGCTCATAGATTCTTAAACTATAAAGCCAGAAGGGACCATTGTGATCATGTAGTCTAACCTTCTGAATAACACAGGCCACAGGACTTCCTAGAATTAATTCCTGTTTGAACTAGAGCAATGTTCTAGGAAAACATCCACTCTTGATTTAAGAATTTCCAGTGATGCGAGTTCTACCACAACTCTTGGTAAGTTTGTCCAACAGTTAATTACCCTCCCTGTTATAATGTGCACTTTTTCCCTAGACTGAATTTGTCTAGCTTCAACTTTCAACTCCTGGAACTTGTTATACCTTTGTCTACTAGCTGGTAGAGCCCTCTTATCTAATTTCTGTTCCCCATGTGGATACTTACAGATTGTGATTAAGTCACCCCTTAACTTACTCTTTGTTAAGCTAAGCAGACTGAGCTTCTTGAGTCTCACCGTAAAGAATGTTTCTAATCATTTCATCATTCTCGTGATCCAATGTTAGTAATGATGTTATACAGGAATATCTACATGGGTAAGATGATTGGGGCCTTTGGTTTACCCAACTTTTGCCACACAATATATAATGCCTCATACATAACAGCTCACCGTGTCATTTGGTACTGGTTTTTATTATACACACACACACACATATACACACACACACTACACTACCTTTCACAAGGAGTGTTATGTTATACTCACACTGAATCTGTTCATGTACAACTAGAGCAAAGTGGTCTATTTCCAGGATATGAGAAAGTTTCCCCAAGCTGTCTTTCAGATGAATCTAAAGAGAGAAAGTTACCAAACTTAAAAGCAAAGTGTCCTGTAATAACATAAAAGTTCAACAGCGCCCCCCGTCCATCCTAGAGACCGTTAAAATTATAAGAATTAGCACTTGTAAAGCATCGTTCATGTTTAAAGTGCCGTAGAGTACAACTACTACTTAATGAATCCACATCCCACTGAGTTCTTGGGGTTTGTTAAATGTTGTGGGTCTTGGAAAAAAGCTGGACAAAAAGAAAAAAAAAATCCAGGGGATGTAGCACCTGAAATTTTCATTTTCACACATACCCACACACTCTAAAGACAGGAAAGATTTTTTAAAAAAAAACTAAGAGGTAAAAATCAGTGCTCCATGTGTGTAATGAAACAATGATGTTATGTAAACATAAGACTATACTCACCTGTACGACTCTGGAGGGAATGGAAGTGAGAGGGTGGGAAATCAGACTGTCAGTTGATTTGGAAAAAGGAGGTTTTGAGGAGGGTAGCAGCGAGAACAGCCGTTAAAAAAAAACAAAAACAAAAAAACCCAAACCCGAGCTAACATATTACTCGGGAGCAACAAACAAAGAACTCAGAATCAAGAATTCAATGAACCTGCTTCAACTATTGTTAGGCTTTTATTTAGCAACACAGAACAATAAAGCACTAAAGACCAGATTTTTTTAAAGGTATTCAGCCACCCTAATTGCCAAGGGAGTTAAGTGCCTAATACATTTGAAAATTTGGCCCTACAGGCTAATCTCATTTGTTGGGTATTTAAAAGAAAGCAAAAAATAGCATTCCATGAACAATCATGTTTTGGTATTATCTGTGTGCTCCCATCAATCTGAAAACAAATCTGGTATATTAGCTGGGTGATTTTCCATCCAAAAAGTAATACGGGCTATCAGCTGTACCTTTTATAAGGACGGAGGGTGACCAGACAGCAAGTATGAAAAATCGGGGTGTGAGTGTGTGTGTAATAGGAGTCCATATAAAGAAAAGCCCAAAATATCGGGACATCTGGTCACCCTATAAAATCGGGACATCTGGTCACCCTATAAGGACACTTCTGTGAAGTTACACCACAGATGAACTTGCCTTCTATAGAATACAGCAGGGGTCGGCAACCTTTCAGAAGTGGTGTGCCGAGTCTTCATTTATTCACTCTCATTTAAGGTTTTGCGTGCCAGTAATACATTTTAATGTTTTTAGAAGGTCTCTCTCTACAAGTCCATATTATATAAGTAAACTATTGTTGTATATAAAGTAAATAAGGTTTTTAAAATGTTTAAGAAGCTTCATTTAAAATGAAATTAAAATGCAGAGCCCCCCGGACCAGTGGCCAGGACCTGGGCAGTGTGAGTGCCACTGAAAATCAGCTCGGGTGCCGTAAGTTGCCTACCCCTGGAGTACAGCCTTTATCCTGCAAGGAGCTCAGTGTGGGACTGAAACAGACTGAAAAGAAAATGCATCTCCCACTAAAAATTTTATTTCTCCCCTTCTCAGTTGGCACAGTAACAACTACCTTAATGTGGGAAATTTCTCAGGGAGGAATGACCTGTTGGTATTAGTGACACACGGCAATGCATAAGGATGCCAACTAATGCCTCAGACCAGTCATTATTTCGCAGAATACAGCTCCTGGGCCATGATAATTACAGATGCCTTGTGACTTCCCATCAGTTAGGAAAGTTTTATTTACAGAAAAGATTAGCTTACAGCAAAATAAAAGCTTGTTCCAGTAAAGAGCCTCAGGTTAAAAAAACTGTGTACACACAAATCAGATAAGTGGTGTTGCTGCCAGATTTGTGCAAGCAAAAATGAGCCTGAGAACATACAAACCCTTGAGCATCCAGACTTACTCATGCAAAAAGCTTGGGTGCAAGAATAGAGGCTCATTTTCAAAATATATAAAAGGAAATTGTTGAGGTTTAACATCTCTTTTCTATTTCCTGTTCATATTCATTTATATACTTTGGGCTACTAGCAACTTGACGTTCTCCAAACACTTTACAGACACTCAGGAATTTAAGATGGACACCATTCCCGTGAGGAAGGATTATTATTTCCCTATTTTACAAATGGGGAAAACGAATGCTCAGGAGAGGCTAAGCAACTTGCCCAAGGTCATGCAGGAAGCTGGTTATTGCTCTGGTCTCTTCTCTCCATCACACTCCCTCCGCTACCACCTTCACTCAAGCTACCCTCTGTGGTATATCCACCCCCTATAAAATGTTATTGCTCCTGCTAACATATGCTCCTGATATTCCTCCTCAGCCTACTTTTCTACTCCAAAGAGTTTTAAAAAACTACAGAAAAACTAGCAACACGCAGCCAATCCCAATGATTGCTTTGATTGTCAAGTCTCACTTTCCCCACTGTCTGTTTTGGCCTTTTTAGTTTGGTAGCTCTTCAAGGCAGCTGTTTTTTCCTATACACCTGCATAATGCCCAGCATACTTTAGGATCTGCTGTTAATCCCAATAACACTCAGATTCCCTGATTCAAAGTCTTGTGCCTTTTTCACAAGGATGGCCCATCCTCTCTATTCGGTAATCTGAAGTACCTGTTTTTGAATAGGTTATTTTGTGACTCTAATGTTTCATGGCTTCAGGAGACTAAATGCATAGCTGGTCATTTTAAATCAAAACAGTAATTCTTCTTCAAATCTAAGGTGACCAGTTGGTAAGAAAATTATTGTGACTCCCATACATGAGAGAAGTTTCCTTATTTTCACTTTGCCTTCCAGTCACACCAAACATATCCATTTTATTTGAAGTGTGCCTTAAAGCTCTCTTCCTTCAAACAATACTTTACACCATCTTTGGGACAATGAGGACTCTTAAGTTTTTCCCCATTTCACTGACACAGATTCCAAATTAGTTGTAAAATTAAATAAAACTTTTTAATTCCAAATTAAAAAAAAAGCAAACATCTAGAATTCTTTTTTTTTTTTTATACATACTTAGACTGTAAGCTCCTTGGGGCAGGGACTATTTTTATTCTGGGTCTGCAGAGCACCTAGCACAATGGGGTCCTGGTTCACAACTAGGGCTCTTGGGTACTACAGTAACACAATTAATAATAACAATTCAGATTTTTTTTTTTTAAACAGAGAACTGTATTTGTGCCAGCATATTAGCAGTGGCAGATACCAGGGGAGGGAGCTGGGGAAAGAGGGATGTTCAATCAGCGTATTTCAGGAGAAAATGGGAGGAGAGGCACAAAGAACTGACTATTACAGATACAACAATGAATACACCATACAGGCACGAGCAACATAGGGACCAGCAAAGCGAGGGATGACAGGAACTAAAATAGTTATGTTACACACCAGAGTTTCACCTGATGTTTGATTTGATGTCTAGGGAGAAAAAAAATATTTTTCTTTCGTTTTGTCTGTAAAGCACTAGCGCTCCTCCTTCTCCCAAGCTATAAAACAAGCAGCCAGTAGATTATACATAAGAATATAATGAGATATAGCTGAATACAATTCCTTCTCCAGAATTTTAAATATTAATAATTAAGATCCATTATGGATCTAATTATTTACTCCTAAATATAATATTGAATCTAAAGCCTGAAGAAAGCTATGTCACAAAACATAATATCCTACTATTTATTCTGAGTGTCATAAGCTCCCCAATTAATGATATCACCTAGCTCTTGTAGTGCTTATCATCAGTAGATCTCCAAGTGCTTTACACGGGAGCTCAGTACCATTATCCCCATTTACTGTACGATAAATATGGCACATCGACTGCCAGGTAGACTTGCCTGGCATAATGCTTTATGCACTTTGATGGCAGTCAGAACTAATCAGCCATCAGCTTGTGACAATTCCAGTCTTTGTTGCAAAGCGAGCACTTGTTGGTTTCAACTGCCATTGGAATTTACACAAAAGAGCTGTTTGAAGTTCAATGATTTCTTCCCATGGAGGCTCACACCACTCAGTTTTACATTCAGATTTGTGTGTGTGTGTGTGCCGGGGGGGGGGGGGGGGGGGAATGAAAAGAAATCCCAATGACAAGAAAAAAGTCCCCATCAAACCCACCAGGGTTCAATGGTCTGATGTAGCACCATAAACCAACTCAAGTCTGGGAGCCTTTCAATGACCCCAGGCTGAGTTTAGAGTCTAAAATGAGATCCAAACCCAGGTCTGCATGCATAGTGGCACATTCTCAAACAGAAGATTCTGTATGGCCCCGCTTCAAATCTTACGCTAGCTGATGCCACTGTAATGCTCAGATACCTACAACAATACTTTAACAATAAAGTAGATGACAGAGCAGGTTTACCTGTCTGAATTGCTTGTAGATTACTTTGCCGACATGATCTGATGGCTGAACTTTCCCAGCAAGTAACGAAGAAAGCATGTTCCCAAGGGTAACCATTCCCAAAATCACACTGAAAAGAGGAGGCATGGTCAAACAATGGCAGACACCCAGGGTTTTCTAGAAACAAGTGAACCGCACGCTCAGCAGGCTTTCCTCAGAGGGATGGCCAAAAGTCAGTTCAACTGGCTTAATGGTGTAGATCACCATTTTCAGAGGTGTTCTCAGATTCTGAGGGTGTCTACAGAGCAAAGAAAAACCAACAGCTCTGAGGCTCAGAGCCTGGATCAGTTGACTCAGGCTTGCGGGGCTAGGAATGGCCATGCAGATGTTCCTGCTGGGGCTACAGCCCAGGTTCCGAAACCCTGTCCCCCACGCCGCGGGGAGGCGGACCATGCAGCTCTCCCTCATCTCCGCACCCTCACTGCAGACAGAGCCACCAAGGGCGTGCCTCCACAGTGAGTGGCAGCCCGCTCCAAGCCCACCTCGACAGACGCAGGCTCGTGCGTCTGCAGTAATAAATAGCTGTGCAGACAGCGCAGCTTGGGCTCGGAGGCTCAGGGAAGAGGGTGGGCTTCAGAGCCTACGCTCCAGGGTCTACACAGCTATTTTCAGCTTGGTAGCACAAGCCCTAGTCTGTCGACCTGAGCTGGGAGGCTTGCTGCTGTGTCGATATCCCCCAAGTGAACTCTGCTCTGCAAGGAGGCTCAAAACTTGGGTGATCAGACATGCCGGTTTTCTGGGAAAGTCCTGGGTTTGGGTGTGAATGTCCTGGCTGGATTACACTTAAAATGGGAGTCTTCCCTACTTTTGCTGTAATTAGCCATTTTACTGACCTCCCTCCTACCTGGCTGTGCTCAGCTCCCAGAGCCAAAATGAAAGTGGGGCTAATAGTTTTGGGTCCTTCCCACTGAACTGTGGCGTGTGCTGGCACACACTAAATTCAGGGGGATTCCAAATGACAAGGCTGATGGACACCGTAGCAATGACTCAGAGCTCCTAGCTAGTAACAGAAGGTTTGGGTGAACTCGTGGTTTCCTCTACTGTCTATCTAATCACTCAGTTGTCTGACCATGATTGCATGTAGTTTAAGTGAACCTGCAGATTTAAATAGTCTCTGCCGGCCTCCCCCCCCAGCCCACTAAAGATCAGCATTCAGCTTTCTGCCATTCAGCAGGCTCACCAATGGAGGCTGAGGGAATGAAGATGTTGGATGTGGCCTCAAGGACTGAGATTTTTAAAATTTCTTTAGGCCCAGGTTAGCGACCACTTTCCAGTTTTCACTGCAGCAAAATGCCATGAAGAATCTACGGAGAACACCCAACCCTGCAAAGGTGGTGGTTCACCCTCCGTTTTATTAAATGAGAGGTTTTGCTTTGATCTATTCCTCACCAGGAGTCCACAGCGATCCCCCAGACAAAAATGGAGGGACTTCTTCATTATAGACAGAGACATTTCAAATATAAGGTCATGGTATCTAGAGACCTATTAGGCCAAGAGCAGGGTAGTCCTGACAGGACAGCATTTTAAATCTGAAAGCTGTGTGGTATGTAATATGACATTTCTGAACTCTTGTTGACCCTGCAGGAGATGCTGGAGAATTAAATGACAGAAGACACACTTCTCATTTACTGTGTGTAAACAGTAAATAAGAAATAGAAACTTGACTTACAGGTTTGTTTTGGAGGGGGAGGGAAGGGAGGAAGATATTGATATCTGAACATACCCACATTCATCAACAACTGGTGCCTGGTCAAATCCCTTCTCTCGGAGGATTTCAATGGTCTTTTCACAGGTGACGCCCGGAAGCACTGTCAGGGGGGCAGAGAGACTTAATTCCTGAACTTTGAGGTGCCACCACCTGTGGACAAAACATAGTTTTTACAGCAACTCGTCTGATCATTCTGAAACCGCCAGGCCCTAAAATACCTTACAGGATTTCCCCTCACTACCAGCAGAAAGGCTCACTTGGGTCTTCAGGACTCAGGAAGGGAAACAATTACAACCGTGTCCCTTTTCCATCTTATTTGATTCCTATCCTTGCATGGCAAATGGCCAGCAGAGATTACAGATACCTCCAGTTGGTTATTTGGATCTTGATTTACAAAAAAGGAAAAGAACATTTTAATGGACTTGAAGCCATTTAGTGAGACACCTAGATAGTTTGTGGAGCCATGTGCTCTTATCAGCATTACCCTCAACCTCCATTTCATCCAACTGTCTGGTACAACCACGGGTTGCATCTTGGCTCAAAACTAAACATCCATCATTTATCATACAGTAATGTCAAGAGGCCCCAGCCAAGGTCAGAGGCCTACTGTACATGGCACTGCACACACACATAGTAGACAGTCCCTGCCCCAAACTGCTAACCATCTAAATAACTGTAAAAACAGAATGTGTCTCTTATTCTGTTAGTACAGCATGTACCACAGCAGAGTTCGAATCCTACCTGGGGCTTCTGGGCATTACAACACAAATGAAGACCTTAGAAGGTATTTTTCCAATTTGCTCACTCTGGGTCCAGTCAGTGTTCTCTGTACAGACTGTTTGCAAACTTTCCCCCTCGTGTTTGTGTGTGGGTCTTCCAGCAGCAACAGGAGAGACAGGCAGGGATTTGTTTAAAGATGGAAAACCATGAAGTCTAGCATGGGCCTTAGGGCAGTTAAGTACCCCCAAACTTCTTTTAACTGTTTTGATACTGATTAGATGTCAAGCTGACAATGTCCATTTCACTGTACTTGACAAAGGATTATTATTTTTGTTCCTGCAGTGCCTAGGAGTGCTAGTCATGGACCAGGGCCCCATTGTATGAGGTGCTGCACAAACAAAAGAAAAAGACAGTTCCCTGCCCCCCAAAAGCATATATGCATCTCAACCTGCCTAATGAATAGTAGATGACACTATAAACATCAATGAGGCATTAAAACATCAAGAATAACTGGGCTGAGGGAAGAGTTTAAAAAGTTTTCATTCATTTAAGAATTGAAGTTGTCACCAAGTCAAAAGAATCTAAGCTTTCTCGAAGTGAATAACTAAAAATATTTCTACTGATTTAAGTAGCCATCACCATATCCCCAAATGTACAGAGGATCAATTCAAACAGACAAGGAAACACGGCAAGCTACAGTGCAATTTAACGTTGCCCACCCCATTGCAATAGGCTCACAAAACTCAAATGAACAGGACTGCCTTACCAAGGTTTGTTAATAATGTCATCATCTTCTTTCATGAATCCTTTCTGGGTCATCCATTTGTCATTCAAAAACTTGGACCTGGAAACCATCAAGAAAGCAAAGAAGTCATGAGCTCCCCCGCAGGTTACACTGGTGTTGATAGTACATACAATGGCACATAGTTACATCCCCAGCACAGATAGGGGTATAGTTACAAACATATAATAGCACTGAGTCAGTCAGTCTTTATGGCAAAGGGATATGTGGGTAGAATATTTGTAAAAAGAAAAAAGGAAATGGCACAACCAAATAATGAGACCACTTGTAATGGAGTAGAAGTGCTGGAAGCTATTAAATTAAATACATTTACAGTTTTGTGCTCCCATGCTACAAAATGGGGAACTGAACAGTGTCACAGAGTAAAGCTGTATTTTAAGTGTGGGGTCAAGTGAATTTAACCACAGGACTTAGAGCAAGTGTAAAACTGTGTCCCCTCCTCCCCACCCCACCTCACCCCGCACCATCCTGGCATGTGTTGTTACTACAGTAGTATTCTCTTCAATTCATAGCACAAGGCAGAGATAGTAGAGGACAACCATTCCTTGAAAAGTTCCAGAAGAGATCCAATTTAAAATGGTTAAAGAAACTCAGGACTCAAACTTTTCCAAAGTGACCAATGATTTTTGGATGCCCAATCTGAGATACATTAAAGGCGCCAGATTTTCGCTGAGTTCCCACCTTCTGTAAACCAGGCTCCTGCCGGAGGCCTCAAGTTGGGAAACAAAAACCAGCAGACGCTGTGGAAAAGCTTGGCTAAACTCTGTATGAATGCCCCACCCTCTGTGAAGGCAGCAGGCTCAAAGCAGAAAGAGAACAGGGCAGTTTCTTACATGTAGTTCCTGACGGAGTCGGGCAAGATGACAACACAGCGCTGACCCTCCGTTAAATCCTTGGCAGCCTTCACAGCAATGGACATTGCGCTGCCAGAGCTGCCACCTGTCAACACCCAGATCACACAGTCAAGACCACGACACGTGGAAGCCACTTGTGAAACAGGAGGATAAGATCAGAGCGAGGTGGGTCGAGCTCAGGGCTAGAGAAAAGAACTCTGGAGCCCTAATCCCAACACTGACAAAGGTTTCCCTTTGACAGGTTAAGTGATTTACACAATGCCGCAATCTAATTCACAGGAAACTTTGGAGGATTAGTACCAGCTCTTACCGCACAATAATCCTTCCTCTCTGATTAACATGCGTGCCAAAGCAAAAGACTCCTCATCGTTGCTCTTGTACCACTTGTCCACCACCTAAAAGAGTGCAGGGGACAGGAGACAAAAGACATAGCTGATCTTATCCCCCTTTCAGGAGATGCTGTTCAGCTGCTTCAAATTATAGACTTACAACTGCCTTCACATCTCGCAACTGCTTTTTTTTGGGGGGGGGGGGGGGACGACGAGGGGCGCTAATTAAGACTACAGTGGTATTAGTGGTGTTCCCCATACTAGTAGAAAGTACTTTACCTTTTAAATAAAATGACTGTGGGAAAAGTTACAAGGAGAACTGGCCACTCTCCTCCATTCCCAGCTGACTTGCCAGGAAAGTGAGTCCTACCTGGCACCTGATGTCATTGGACTAGAGATCAAGTTGAGGGTTGGGGTTTTTTTGGTTTTATTTAAAGGGATTGTTCCGGGAAAAAGCTATCTGTGCAGTGTGTTTTCATGAAAGAGCAAGAGAAATGTGTCCAGCTCAGAAGTTCACCTGAGGCAGCTTTACCTGCTGGGATACAGTGGGAAGAGGATTTCGTTGTGCCTCCTAACCCCTCTAATCTCAAAGAAACACTCTCTGTGTGCCTCACAGTAGCTGCCATGCTATTTCAAATTTCCTCCCCCTCCCCTCAGAGCAGAAGGCAAGGAGTGGTTAATTGAGGAGCTTGACTTACCGATCTGTCCAGCACGGTAGGGACAAAATCATATCCAATCCCCTCCACCTCGTATGTCGTCTTGTCAGTCTTATTCAGTTCTTCAGGCTCAGCAAGAATGGAGCCCAGGGGATCGACGCCAATAATCTGGAGAAGGGGATTTCAGATTTGGCTACCGTTACACTGTTTTTTCAACACACAGCCATTAAATCAAAGTGCTATGCTAGGACTGTTACCTCACAAAACTGTCATGCCATCCATACAGATACAGGCCGTGGTCATTGAAATAAGACTTTTTTCCCCCCAGTCTGTCCTTTGGCAAGTCCCCTTCTGCAAACGGTCTTGTTGCTCCTACCCTTCAGCAACTCATCCTACTTGGTCAGGATGTGGGACATTGTAGGGGAAAGGCACAGCTCATTCTGTGCAGGTTTTGTTTAGCTCAATGGAAAGTGTTTGCCCTGATCCCACTCAGAAGTCAGATCTCTTTACCATTTTGTACCAGGAACAAGCAGAAAGTCTTCTCAGTGTAACAAGGCACTAGTGTTAAAACCTAGTGTCTTGTTTCCATCAGAAAATGAAAAGCAAGCACAAAGAGTCATAAGGTAACAGAGACAGGAACGATACGTGCCTACTGAGGGACACACAGATTTGCATGTCATGGGACAAGTTTCATTTGGCCAGAAATTCAGTGATCCTAAAGAATTACCCCTTGTAAAGTCAGTGAAGAGAAAGTGCAAACATCTTTTGGATACAAACAGGTGTCCAAAATATACATAGTAGGGAGAACAACATTTTTCAAAACAGGCCATATGGAATTTGTGGTTTAATTTTCAGAATCAAACCCTGACTTGGGTCACAAGTGAAAAGAGAAGGAGATGGCTTCCTATGCTTTTTGTGAACAGCTCAAAACTGCCACCCAAGCAGATGTGTCGCAGGTAAGGATTACAGTGCACCAGCAAAGATCAAAAAAATGGAACTTAGTCCCACAAGGAACTTGGCAAGACACTTATAGCTAGAAATAGTTACCAAGATGCTTTAGTTTGCCACTTACTTGGCAATCTGGGCATTTCTCTTTCAGCTTTCTTGCAACGCCAGTGATGGTGCCTCCTGTGCCAGCTCCAACCACCAGCATGTCTATTTTTCCTATTTTAAGTGCAAGGAATCAAATACCACCTTGAAAACATCCATTGGCATTATAGATAAAAATCCTATTGCAGACCAGGAATGCACAAGATGCATTACTCCCTCCAAGGAAAGCGCAGTTACCCTCAGAAAGGTGACAATTTACAGTAGCCTTTTACCTCACAGTAGGTGTATTCAGAGTCCTAACTTCAGACCTTGTTCCCCCTTCTCCCCCTCGTTTAGTGCAACGGGGCCCAGCTTTGTGACAGCCTTTTGGGCATGCTGCAACACCCATGTTTTCAAGGCTTGGAGAAGGGGTGAGGGGTGTATGTGTCGTATTTGCCATCTGTGGATTTGTTTTATTATGTTTGGTGGTAGATGTTGATCTGTCATTATTCTAGCTCTTTTTGTGCATTAATAGAACAATCAGGACTTGGCCAACAATTATTTTATCTGATTGTTTTTTATTTCTGGTAATATATCATTTAAAGAGCACTTCACTAACTTCCGGGCACTTATATAAAAAGTGATGCTTACAAATCAAAAACATCCCAAGAAATAGGGCCTGATTCTGATCTCACATGGGTGAGATTTCATTGACTGAAGCAATGACATCGGACTTACACCTTTGACAGTGAGATTAGAATAAGGCCCATTGATTTTACAAGATGGATTGAGAGTCAAGACGAGTTCTGAAATCAGAATGCGTCTTCAGTGATAGTAAAACCACCTTTGCACTTGTAAATGGAGGAAGTCTGACATGGAAAGCATGTATAGACAAACAAAAACTCATTATATAACTCAGACTATAACTGCACTTTACATGCAGGTCATTGTCACTATCAAAATCTAATGTAGGGCTTTGTTACTTTAAATACAGAAATCCCATTGAGAGGCTAAACGTGAGGTTTTATGGCACAGACCAAGAAACTTGATGTGCAAGCTCCCTCTGCTGGCTCCAAACACAACTTACTGGTAAGTCTGAATACAACTGTGCCATGATAAAATCATGCATAATTCCTGGCACTGTCACAGTGGAAAATAAATAATTTCATGCTCAGGTCATGGTAACTTGTGGACCCTGTGGGTGCGCACTGACAGTTTGTTAGTTCATTTTGATTTAGTCCTCTTGGAAATGGGACTAGATCCAAGTGAACTAACGTACTGTTAACGCACGGAAACAGGGTCCACATAAATGGCAAAATTCCTGGTTCCGTGACAGTGGTGATCGTTGTGACATAATCATAACCTTACGAAAAAGCTTGGTTCCTAACCCATGTGTATTCCTGAGGGCACCATCAACTGAGGAAAGTCTTGTGATAGGGTAAGTGGACCTTACACAGAGTTCTAGTATTAAATTAAATTAAATTTAAATTAAAAATAAATTAAAAAAGATAAACCAAAACCCACATGCACAATTTAGACTAAGAGCCAAGCCTTTTTAAAAACCAATTCCCATTCATGAACACTCAAATGCCCTAGGTCTTCAACTCCTCTGAGCTATGCAGACTTCTTTATCTAGGGGTCATCACTTTGCCTGGCCGGTCACAGTCATAGAAAGGTAAAAGCAAAAGTTTGGTTTTTTTTAAATCCCACACTTCTAACTAGAAGTGTGTCTCATTTGAATTTTGTAAACTTTACATAAACTATCTCAGAGCCTATGCAATTCTATACCCCTGAAAGTCTTGTTCTGCTTTCCACAGGAGTATGTGATTAAAAGAAGAGCACTCCAGAGGTTAATTCAGAAGAGTGCTAGCAGAAGAATTAGCATACCTTCACACTGCTGCAGGATCTCCTCAGCTGTAGTGTCATAGTGTGCCAAGGGGTTACTGGCGTTGCGGTACTACATTGAAATACAATAGAAAACATATGAAACCATGGAAACAGCTCATAAAAATCACAGTCTGAGGAGCAGGTCAAAAAATGACCAGTGTTGTTCAAGCCTCACAATGACACTATAGGCTCCCACCAGTTTTCTAAATTGTTCAGCCATTTACCAATACTTTCTACCTTGGCCTGGAAGAGATTCCTGCAACTGCCCCAATTAAAGTAAGTGGTATTTTTGTGCCAAGGTACTTCTAAGGTCCCAACATCCCTGAAGGCCAAGGGCAATCTCCTTCTGGGATTATGTTCTGTAGAAGTTTGAACTTTGTATAACTCCGATGCACAGAATTGCCAACCTAGCAGATAACATTACCTTGGTCTTTCTGTAACCTATGTTAACATAGAATGGTTCTTTCAGGGTGGATAAAAATAGATAATTTAAATTATGTGTATATTTTAATTTAAAATCAGATTTAAATTAAATCTTTTTTTAAAAAAAATAAACATTTGAAATTATGGCAACCTATGTTAAGGCCTAAACTATAATTATCGGTATCACTTAAATTAAATTAGAAATATAATATTGAGCAGCATATGGTTGCTGCCAAAGTTTTAAAGAAAGTCAAACCACTGAACTAGTGGAAGTCACTTGGCAAGCACCAGAAACCAGAGTTTGAAGTGCTAAATCAGCTTTTGATAGCAATAGCCTCTTCTGCAGGTACAAAGAGAGTATTTTCTTCATTTCAGTTTATTCAACTACTTCAGTTCACTGACTAATTCCTTTAAAGTTGACTCAGAGCTGAAAAGGCAGAAAAGTGTGTTTTTCTCTTCTGATCAATGAATAAAAACTAGGTGTGAGAAGATGAGATTTACTACTTCTAAAATCTTCAGGGATATGGTGAACAGAAACAATCAGTTCAATTCACTAACTACAGATACTTCCCTTGTTTAATAAATCAGTTAGTTGTAAATGCAAACCATATTTTACAATTTTTCTTATGTATCCAGCACATTTAAGGCAGTTTTATTTAACTAATAAAAACAATTAAGTGCTATTTTGCACATTTTAAATTCAATTCCAGTTTCCATCCAAATAGAGCTTGACACAAATCACAGGTACAAAAGTTAATTTAGTAAATAAGAAATGCATCATTCTGTAACCTAATAAACAAAATGTAAAAATTAAGCATCTGAAAGTACCGTACGTTAAGCTATGCATAATTATTAAGCAATTATAGTATATTTTCCTGGCTAGCAAAAAGAAGTCCCAAGTTCAGTGCAAAAGCTATATTTAATTGTAAACCAACATATTTTAATGGCTACCAATTTTTCTTCAGGAAATGAACTCAAAAGTACAACTACAAAACAACATTCAAACAAATGATTTAAATCAGTATTTCTGGTTTGCTGATTTAAATCATGATTAAAACTGTTGATTTAAATTGCTTCAATTTGAAAAGCCAGTTCACCCTGGGCTTTTTGTGTCCCTCTAGTGGCTAAGGCACATTTAGACATTTGCGATCTGCTACTTTTGCTGAGCTAAAGAACCTGGTCAGGCAACAGCAATTCACACTTTTAGATCCAGAGATCCCAGGTTCAAACTACATATACTCCCATCCAGGGCTGTTACCCTTTTACCTGTGGAGTGCACGAAAAGGAGATTACCAATATTTCTCTCTATCCCACACATGCACCTCAGTTGTTCAGGACCTTACCTGGTCTAGGATATGGGAATTGGGGATTTCATTTTTCAGTCGCCATGCTACTCCCACATGAGATTCAGGTGAGTCAAACCTGGCAGTAGTTGGGGTCCTCACAATCTCAGCACCAAGAGCTCTCAGAACATCCACCTGAATCAAACAGAGTCAGTCAAAAATCTCCATAGGTACAGAGACCCTACTGGTATACCAGAGAATGGGGGAAAAAAAAGCTGACTATAAACTTACATAAACAAGAGTGTGCAACTCTTCCATACCCACTGCTTAAAGTCTGTATCAATTCAATTCCCAGAGGCAAAGTGTTTCAGAACAGATGCCCCACACAGTTTAAACGCTGTCCTCTCTGCCTTGGTTTTTTAAATGTCTTGTGGCCTGAAATTTATGATTATTTGCCTACAAGGATGCACATTTGTCACTAGTACGTAACCTGCATTTTCACCTCAATCTAGTTGAAGATTTCCCCCCACCCCCGCAAAATCTAATCAATTCTGCTGGTGGAATTACAGAGCTAAAATAATTCTTATCAACATGGCCAGGCAACACTGTCCCCTTCCCACAACTCGTGTTTTGAAAGCTACATGATGGATTTGACCTGAAAATGTAACATTCAATGGCAAATAAGAAAGCAGCATTTGGCTACAGTCCGCTTGTCTGGAGTATGAATTGAGGACACACACATTTCTACATACCTTTTTTGAGTATGTAGTGAGGGGTTACTCAGTGCAAAGTATTAAAAACACGTACATACCAGCTACTTTACAGTCTAATAAAGACACAGCCAAGATTCCCAGTGCCATACCCTAGAACCACCATTTTATTTCCAATGATTTGGACGGTGCCTTGCACACTAGGACCCACTCTTGGTTGGCTCACAGATAGCAACATAATAAAAATGTTAAAAATAAGTATTAAGTTCAGTGATTTCAACATATTATGCAGTAGACCTCCACTTAGATAGCAAGGTGGTAGATCCCTTAACAGACATCTCCTTATGTTTGCAGTCATACCACGAGAAGTGTGATCTTTTGAAAAAGTCATTAGCTAAGGAGGGTTGGGTGTAGTCACTGTTTAAGCAACAGGCCTCCAGGGCAAATTCAGGTGCTGCAGGATGTGGTGTGGGCAATTCAGCACGTAGCACTCTGCCTTTCATGTCAGAACTTTGCCCATGTGCCAGCAGAGTACCAGAGGGCACCTCTCCTGCTGGAGTTGCTATCTTTTCAAAGGACATTGAAAACAGAGGTCCTAATCATTTGTGATCATTAAAAATCTCATGTCGTTTTCGTCAAGATTAGTGATGTCAGTTCCAATGGCCTCACTTAGTTCCACTCCAGTTTTGCCTTCCTACAGTTACTGTAGTTTTAACTGGGCCAAATTTTTTTCTTCACTTGTTCTTGACTATTGTAAAATATAGGCAGATTTTAAGCTACTTACACCATCCCCAACCCTCGAGAGGGCTGAATTAGAACAATGGGGAAAACAGTTCTTATCTGTGAAGTTGGTTGAGCACTTTGGGATCTCTGTGTGAAAGGCAGTATTTAAATATATCAGTTGTAATGTTCAGGTACCTCTTCTGGCTACGTGGTGGGTTTGTACCCCTAGGCCTGCCTGGGCTCAACAGCTGCAAAGATTTCACACCCCCAAGACTTGGGAACGGAAGATTCTTAAAACAGCTGTGCCAATGCATAACTCGCTGCCTCTGCACAGGAGGGCCCTAATGCTCCTTGGTTCAAAGAGTGAAAGGCAGGCTGTAAAAACAAAAATAAAAAAATCCACCAAGAAGCCTGTGCATAGTGCCTATAGCTTAATCATGAACACTCAGCATTGTTTTCTCTGCCATCCAGCCTAGCACTGGTGTAAGGGAACTATCTGGACCAATATCATCTTATTCCCATGGCGAAGTTATGTGCTGCTCTGAATTGTCTCTTCCAACTTAACTGGATACCCAAAAATTGAAATCAGAAGAGCAGAGGCTTGATCCCGCCATCCTTACTCCGGCCAACCTCCCTCTGACTTCAGTGGGAGTTCTACCCAAGCGAGCGATGCAGGATTGGGATCAAGCGCAGCAAGGCTGAAGTCATGAAGGCTAGAAACTTATTTCTTTCCACTACTGTTACAATGAAGGATTCCATATTGATCTATTCCTCTTTGTCATTAAAGCTTCCTCAGCACATATGGATCCAAATTTCCTTAAGCTGAGGAAAGAACATTTTTGCTTTTTAGCCACTTGCCATCACTTCCCATGGTGTAACCTGAAACAATATACTGCAATGTAGCACCCTCTCTCGGGTCTCACCACTGTACATAGAACACAATGTTAAAGCATCCAGTTCTTCAGCTGTCTCCACTGGCTTCCCTCAGACCCTCCATTCAATGACAGTCTTTCCTTAGATTAAGTATCACTTCAATTTTCTGCTCGCATCTCAAGTCTTTCTTGTCACTGACACGAATACTTTAAAAATTCCTACGCTCAGGGGTGCTACAGCTACTGGCAGCTTCACCTCTATAATCTCTGCCTTTTTGCTTTGCGACTGGCCTACCAATATTCCCCTTCAACATTGACAGCAACCCCCTCTGCCCTTCCCCCATCTCAAGAAGTTTATACATATACTCTGACCAATTATTTAAAAATATCTGACACATGGTAAATTGGTTTGCAGTGCCTCAGTATCCAATTTCACAGCCAAAAAGATGGCATCCTCCTCCCATCAGGATCTGAACATATTCAGACAAATTTATTTTTAATTATTGGCAATACAAGTAGTTCTGACCTTCTCCATGCTCATTTTCTCTGGCATCACAATGATGCAGCGGTAGCCTTTCACTGCAGCAGCCAGGGCCAGCCCAATTCCTGAAAGTGGGGAAATACAGAGTATGTTGTAAGAGAAACAAAACCACAATGAATTTATTTGAGCATGAGCTTTCGTGAGCTACAGCTCACTTCATCGGATGCGATGAAGTGAGCTGTAGATGAAGTGAGCTGTAGCTCACGAAAGCTCATGCTCAAATAAATTGGTTAGTCTTTAAGGTGCCACAAGTACTCCTTTTCTTTTTGCGAATACAGACTAATACGGCTGTTACTCTAAAACCACAATGGTAACTTCTGCACGTCCCAGTTTTAAGAGCTTTTCTCCCCAGGCTTGAATGGGGTATCCCTACAGAGACTTAAAAGGAAAAGGTTGCTACTCTCCAAGAGAGTTGGAGAGCAGGACTGTGCTTTAAAAGCACCATTTGGCTCAACCCCAGACCAGAGCCATCAAAAAGGTGAGCAAAGACTGGGAAATTTGCAAGTTCATGTTGCTGGGTTTCCCAGCCTAGTTTTTCCCTCTCCCCACCTCTGCCCGCGTGTTACAGATGTAGTTTGGGAGTGAACAGAATTTCATAGATTAAAGCCAGAAGGGACCATTGAAATAATCTAGTCCAATCTCCTGCATAACACAGGCTGCAGAACCTCACTCAATTTCTACATCAAGCCCATAACTTCTGTTAGAATTATCCTCACTTAACAATTTGCATCTTTTTTTCTAGGCTGAATTTGTCTAGCTTCAGCTTTCAATTATTGGACCTGGTTATGCCTCCACCTGCTCGATTAAAGATCTGTTCACAGATCTCTTCCCCAGGTGGGTACTTGTAGACTGGGATGAAGTCAACTGTCAATCTTCTCTTGGATAAAAGAAGCTCAACCTGTTAGTTTCTCTCTCTCTCACCTTAAGGCATGTTTTCCAGTCCTTGAATCATTTCCTTTAGCTCTCTTCTGAACCCTTTCCAATGTATCAGCTAGGTCTTGCCAGAAAATTAGAAATCCATTTCATGAACATCAAGGTTTTAGAATTTGTTTTCATTCTGTAGCAGAGCAAAACGGAGACCTTTTGAATTCCCCACCCCCTCCCGCTCCATTTAAAAGAGCCACCTCACAATAACCAATTGCCCAGTGGTGAGAGCACTCGCCTGGGAAGTCTTCTTGCTCTCTTATGTCAGAACTGTTCCACCTCATATAAATAATTAAATATGTATTGTGTCAGAAAGAGCCTGTTGGTTAGAACCCTTGCCTAGGATGTGGGAGATCCAGGTTCGAGTCCCTACTCTGAACCAGTAGCCATTAGGTATTCTGGGGTGGGTTTCTCTGCCGAAGTTTTGTTGAGACATACACTTCAAAAAAGTTTGGTTTTGAGAAATCAGTTTTCTAATGAAAAGATATTTCACTGAAAAATTCCCAATCAGCTCATCCACATCCATTCTGAAGTGATGATACCAGAACAGGACACTGTATTCCAACCATGGTCTCACTAATTCCCGATACAGAGGTAAAACCTGACCAACACTGACAATCAGAAAGACATTCTAAACCCCAAACTCTATTACCCTATACTTTTAGGAGATTAACATGAAAGTGCTGCAAATGTCAAACTAAGGAGTCAGCTGCAGGGGAGGAGAAATCCTATGCCCTTCTTAGAGAAATTAGCTTAGTAGCTATGGGCAGAGGCCAGGAGTGACCGGCAATTCCCTGTGCTGGTGTGACCCAAGAACCCTTTTGATGCCAACTGGCAATGAGGTGCAGGGGGTTTACCCTGATTCTGGGATGTACATTCTGGTTCACCAAAGAATGTCATGTGAGGTCTCAAACGAAAGTTGCTGTCACATGTCACAAATATCACTGTGAAAAGCATGGACAGATACTATGTAAGGAGTTATGTATGTATACTAAAAATACATTCTTAAAGTCTGTATCAAGGCTGGCGAAAAGCTAGTTTTCTGTCAGACAGGAGATGTCTCTCCGTCTGTCTATTCGCACATAAATTGAGTATGGTCGCATTCACAACAGTTCCCCTACCACTAGTCAGAACTGAATGCAAAGGAAGGATTGTAAAAAAGAACTAACAGGAAGAGAAACAGAGCAGAGGCAGAGAAACGTATCTGGAGGTGCATAACAAGGGTTTACTTGGGTATATCTGGGAGGGGGGGGAACTGGAACACACAGACACTCTTCACTGAGGAAGTAAAAGGACAGCACTTTTGCTTTCTGAAAAAGGGGTTTCAACCAAGCTTGACTGAAAACGCTGTAGAGGACTCTGGGTGAGATAAACTTCTGTAGTCAGGAGGTTAGCCTGTTCAGTCTCTAGAAAGTGTGCTATGATTCTCGTTTCTACATAGCCATTCGTTTCCAGTATCCTTACTCACTATCACTTGAATCCTCTCGACCTGCTATTTCTGTGAGTGGATAAGGGGCTGGATACTACAGGGAATGCTCAGAGAGGGTTTGGGGGCTTGTGTGTGTCCACTGCTGCTGGAACAGACAAAGGAAGGCCTGAAGAGGCCTGGAAGGCAGTACTTGTGCTATCACAGGTTGTTGGTTTCAGAAGCTGATCCACGGTAGACACTGACAAGACTCCCTCACTCTAGAGCAGGTGCTGGTGGCGATGTGCCTCAAAATGCCGGGTGCCCCTGGAGAGCATCACAGCTGCCTACTCTAGGCCTTGCAAAATTGCCACCTTTAAATCCGTCACTGAGTTGCAACAGAAAAGCTTCAAAAACAGACTCCAATGACAAACTGCTGAGCTTGAATTAATATGCAAACTAGATACCATTAACTTGGGTTTGAATAGAGACTGGGCGTGGCTGGGTCATTACACACATTGAATCTATTTCCCCACGTTAAGTATCCTCACACCTTCTTGTCTACTGTCTAAATGGGCCATCTTGATTATCACTACAAATTTTTTTTTCTCCTGCTGATAATAGCTCATCTTTAATTAATTAGCCTCTTACTCCACCTTTTCATTTTCTATGTATGTGTGTGTCTCTCTCTCTCTCCTTACTATATGTTCCATTCTATGCATCCAATTAAGTGGTCTGTAGCCCACGAAAGCTTATGCTCAAATAAATTTGTTAGTCTTTAAGGTGCCACAAGTACTCCTGTTCTTTATTCTGATTTAAGAGACATAGTCCTCTTAGTATGAAAGAACACAGTGTCAGCTACAGTCAGCAGTGTCACCACAGGTAAGGAGTCAGAGGCATGCAAAATACAGATCCAAACTCACAGGTCTCAAAAGTAGGATTCAGACTGCAGTTCCAGCCTTCAAAGGGTGAGTGCTGAAAACAGAGCTGTATCTAGATAGTCACCCAGTGTTTCTGCGAGGATGTCCTGTGCCTACCAAAGGCTCTAACCTTGAAGCTATTTTTGTTCCTCCTTTCCAGACCTCAATCCAGCTTGCACTGCAGAGCTGTATGAAATTAACTTGTGCTGAGCTATCAGCAGCTCTTGCAAGCTAAGCACGGTCCACCTGTGTCAGCCTTCAGATGGGACACCTCTGAAGAACAGCTAAGTGCCACAGGATGTGGTGTTGGCTAGTCAATAGGTTCACTGCAGAACTGGTGCCTCAGTATAACACTCTGCACTACCTGAAGTCATTCGGGAAAACTGCACAGCTAAACACCTCACCACTTGGACGCACATGGCTCTTTCCACAAGCACAACCCAGGATGTCCTGGGCAAATTCCAGCTTTGGGTACTCTATTATGTGTTCCAGTGGTGTCTACAAGCCCCACTCATGGGCCCAGAGCCCATTCATCCTGCCCCCTGCATCCTCTCTGCAGTTTCAGTTGGATACAAGATTGTAGAATAAAGGTACAAGAGCTAGCAACCCTTGTGCTTCAGAGCAGAAGCCGAAAATGAATTCCAGACTGCTCTCATCAACTATTTGGCTCCCCTCTCAGTCACTGAATAACTTGGAGATTACACCTTCCTCTGAAGCATCCAGCATCAGCCATTATCTGAGACAGGATGCTGGACTACTGATCTATTCCTACAGAGTAAAGGGTACAAAAGATGGTCTGGTGGATACGGTGCTGGACTGACATTTAGTAGTCCTGAGTTTGATTCCCAGCTCAGTCTCATGTGACTTTTGGAAAGTCACTTATAATTTGCTCTGGACAATGGGGAGAATACTTCCCAGCCTGACGTGGATATAGTGAGGACAACCAAGTCCTCTAATAATTGTGGGGCACTCAGGTACTAACTTCTAAATACAAAAAAGTAAGCAGTAGCCTCTGTAACTTAACACTAGTTCCCACCCACTCTGACCAGCACCAAGCATCGTATTTTCCTTCCTCAGCTGGACCCTGAGCTGGGAGCCGAACTTCTGTGAGGTTCTCTCCTCCTGTCAGGCATTTTTCTCTTTTGAATGAGCAGCCTTCTCTGCTCCAACTCCTCTCCTACAGTTCCATGGAAACCTTCAGACCACGTTCCCACAGTTGCTTAACAATCTCACTGTGACCTAGAAATTCCTACCTGTGTTTCCTGATGTTGGCTCAATGATCGTGTCCCCAGGTTGCAAAATCCCAGCTCTTTCCGCATCCTCCACCATCCTCAGGCTGATTCGATCCTTCACGCTCCCCCCAGCATTAAAGTACTCGCACTTCGCCACTGGAAACAGAACAGTCAAACAAATGTATGTGTGTGTGGTTTTTTTAAAAAGAGGCACTACTGCGTTCACCAGAGGAATTCTGACTCCTTACGTAGATCCGAAAACACTCCAGCTAAGGTAATTTCTGCCTACTTAAACACCCCCTACCTCCCAACAAGACAAAGGGAGAGGCAGCCCACAGTACAGTGGAGAAGTCAGCACTTCCAGTGTCACTGGCCAATTTGATAAAGTTCTTGGCACATTTCACAGCTGGCCACAGGAACAAGAAGCCCCACACCGTGTCAGTTTTATCTTAACTAGTGGGTCTCTCCTTTTGTCCTCTTTTCTCTGCCTTGTTACATTGAGACAGAAGATCAGAGAGAATTAAAAAACCATGTGTAGCTCAAATCAGGAGAGGGGGAGTGAGGACAGGTTACGGTGCTCTACCAGTACCGGATGGAATTTTTTAAATAGGCCATTCCCTTGCCAATGAAGGATTGTTCCATACTGCATTTTCCACCTCTTGGGAGCTACCGCTAACTGTTAAGAAGTCCACCCTTGAATTTTATCTCATTTCTCCAAGTTTCAGCCCTTTGGACAACAGTAAACAGAATCTATTAATTGTCTTCTGTGATGATCCCCTCCATGTACTTTTACCCTATTCCCATGAAGCAGTCATTGTTTAGCCAAGCTATGCAGACCGTAGTTTGTTCTTTTAAATCTTCCCTAAGTAGTCAGCTGCTTCAACCATTTCATCATTTGCATGCTCTTTGGTGCCTATTCTGCAGCCTCATTCCGAGGGGCCCAGTGGCAACACCAAGAGCCGGTTGAAAGTTTCACTTGAAACGTTTTTGACCAAAAATGGCTTTTTAATCAGAAGGGAAATGTCATCAGAAAATGTCCATTTTTGATGTGTAGCATGTGTGGTTTGCTTTTTATTTATGCGCACGAGCGCGGGGGGAAGGGGATGTAGAGGCAATCAAAACACAAACCCAAAAACTGAAGAATTCTCTCTCTCTCTCTCTTTCTCTCCCTCTTTTTTTGAGCAACACGTTCATTTTTGTCAACTTTTTCCACAGGAATAAAAAGCATTTCCCAACCAGCTCTCGTGAACACTGTTAAATAGGGTGATCCAGATTTCTGAAGATACACCTCTAATTCGACATCTGAAGATACATCATTAACTTCTGTCTGCAGCAAGTACTCACAGAGTTCACACTTGAGTCCAAAGAACTTTCCGATCCTGTTGATTTGTACCATAGGAGTATCACCAATTTTCCTCAGAATGTTTGGTAGTATGTTTGGAGACTTTGGCCTAATGCACAGACACATCGATTAGTTCTTGGCAGTAACACTGGGAGGTCACATGCTTATTTTGGATGTTCTTTTTAAACATACAGAAGTTCACAACAGAAAGGACTCTCTAAAACAGCAAAACCCTGATCCAAAACTTTTGGAGTAATCAGACATCAGTGAAATGGTGTGGATAGCACAAGGTACATGCATTTACCTCACGTGGTTTCCAAACTTTTTTTCTGGGGACCCAGTTGAAGAAAATTATTGATGTCCGCGACCCAATGGAGCTGGGGATGAGGGGTTTGGGAAGGGGCTCTGGGCTGGGACCAGGGATGAGGAGTTTTGGGTGCAGGAGGGGTTGGGGGTGCAGGAGGAAGTCAGGGCTCTGGGCTGGGGGTGCAAGAAAGGGTTCCAGGTTTTGGGGGGGGCTCAGGGCTGGGGCAGGGTATTGGGGTGCGGACTTACCTCTGGCGGCTCCCAGTCAGTGGTGCAGCTGGGGTACAGAGGCAGGCTTCCTGCCAGTCCTGGCACCGTGGACTGCACTGCGCCCCAGAAGCAGCCAGCAGCAGGTCTGGCTCTTAGGCGGAGGCACGCCCCCACCAGTTTGGAGTGCAGAGCCGGTGCTCGGAGCGGGGACAGCACGCGGAGCTTCATGGCCCCCCTGCTTAGAAGCCGGACCAGCTGCTGGCTGCTTCTGGGGTGCAGCACGGTGTCAAAACAGGTAGGCACTTGCCTGCCTTAGCTGGGCAGCACTGCCGATGGAACTTTTAATATCCCAGTCAGTGGTGCTGACCAGAGCGACCCTGTGCCTGACATGCCGTGACCCAGTACTGGGTTGCAACCTGAAGTTTGAAAAGTGACTGATGTAGTTTATTGTCATCATTACCAACCACTTAATTATTCACTTGATCAGGGCAACTGCTTAATAGGTTACTTAACATGAGCTAACTCTGGGTATGTCTACACTGGTAAGTTTCTGCGCCACAAGTTATACCCCTTTTATTAAAACGCTGGAATTAAACTGCTGTTGCGTGTCCACACTGTGCTCTTTGTGATGCTGGAGCGCATCCACATTAGCAGCTCTTGCAACCGCAAAGACAACAGTGAATTGTGGGTAGCTATCCCACTGTGCAATGGCCGCAGGGTGCTTTGGGAATGGTTTGCAATATCTCATGGGGCAGGCACAGCATCACATGATGCAGATTTCCCAATCCCATTGTTCCATGGGCATCCTAATACATTGACAGCTGCTTTTCAACTGAAGTGTTGGGGGTGGGGGGCAGAACGTGTGTGTGTATAGAGGGAGGGAAGAGAGACAGTGTGTTTTGCGGGACAGAGAGTCTCTCAACATGCTGTCTTGTAAGTTCAGACAGCAACAGGAAGCAACCAGTCCTGAGGCGGGGGAAGGGGAAACCCAGACATCAGCCCCCGCCTTCCTCCCTGGGCACTCTCTCTCTCTCTCATAAGCACACCTCTGCCTCTGTGTTCAACTGCACATTAACGGTTTGCGGTGTGTCCCAGAGCAGATGAGCACAGCACACAACAGCTGTCAGAAACGGAGCTTTGAAATGGGAGGGGCACACGTCTCCAGGGCAGCCGAGTTCAAAACAATGAGCAGAGCGCGGACACTTGAGGCATTATGGGACACCTCCGGAGGCCAATGACAGGGCAGAAAGCAATTAAGTGCCTACACTGGCAATAGAGCGCTGGAGCCTCTGCACAAACAGCCTTACGAGGCTTGTTGAGGTGGGTTTTTTTGCAGCGCTGCAACTGAGGAGTTTCTATGCACAGAGTTGCAGTGTGTATACATCTGCCGTTTGAGTGCAAAAAGCTGCTTTACTGCAAAGAAACTTGCCCGTGTAGACAAGCCCTCTGGCTAATGCAGCTTCACATCAGCTTCTTTAAGCAGAAGGCTAATGGGAAGGGAATGTTTGTACACTGTTAGCAATGTTCTTTGTTTAGTAGAGTTGGAAAACTTATTAAACATCAAGAACAGGCTGTTCTAGCTTGGAAGGGGTATTGTTAATTTTAAGGAAAGAGATGAAAAGGAGTTCTCTGCATCTCAAATTAGTAATGAGGGGGAGCAGGGAGGGAATTTATAAGATTTCAGACATTTTCTCCTTCTAGCAGATAGCGGCTACAATAAAAAGCATATTCACTGGCGAGATATACTGGGGGAGGGAGGTAAAGAATGATTCCCAGGTCAAAAGCAAGAGCTACAAAGCTGCGATCCACAGTCTGCCATGCTCTCACCATCTGAAGTAGGTTAGCATAAATTTCAGGCCTTCCAGGGAAAATGAATGCTTCAGTCATCTCTGCTGAGCATGCACATATAATCTCCATCAATGCCATGACTGCTCCAAACCATGGTTTGTCAACAAAAGCAGACTGGAAATAGTCAGACTAGATCAGTGATTTTCAACCAATCATCCGTGGACCCCCTAGGAGTTTGCAGACTATGTTTAAGGGGTCTGCAAAAGATTGTCATTACCATAAAACGGTGGTTTTTCAACCTAGGGACCGCAGACTATGTCTAAGATTTCCAAAGGGCTGTACACCTGCATCCAAAATTTTTTAGGGGTCCATAAATGAAAAAAGTTTGAAAACCACTGAACTAGATGATCTAATGTTCCTTTCTGGCTGTAAGAATCTATGAAATGCTGAGCACAGATTAATGCTGCAATTACAGGTAGGTGTGACGAAATTCTTGGTGAATTTATTCATTTTTTGCCTGCATTTTTGGGGAGGGAGGGTTAAATAGCACCATTTAGGGAAGATGAAAGTGAATGTGTAAATATGAGAAAGCAAAAAACTGTCAAACACAAAAGATGACCTCTTGACCCCATTAAAGTCAATGGGAGTTTGCCTCTTTTATAACATAAGCTAGGTGTAAACATACTGAGCTTGCAACTGTAAATTATAGATATCGGATACAAAAGTGTCCATATGCAAAATCATGCCAATTTAACTAATACAACTAAAAAAATTCACACCTTTAGTTAAACCCATGCAGTGCTTTGAAGGGACAAAGTCTTGGTTAACACTGAAAGGCAACAAGGAAAGAAAGGTATCACTTACAAAGTGGGGTGATAATGAGGGGATTCAGAGGGGGGTTTCCCCAGCTCCCAAGTACATTTGCTAGGGGTGTCAGGTCGGATCCACTCTCTCTCCTCACTGATGTTACAGGGCTCCTTCTCCAGCCCTCCGTTCAGCAGGCATTTAGCAGAGAAGTGAGAGCAGGAACTGGTGTCCATTTCTCCTTCTGGAGGAACTGAAGGCATTGTGTCTCTGAAAAGGAAAGAAGAACCTGCCATTAAGACTCACTTTGAGCTTCCTCAGAAGCAAAAGGATTACCTCAAAGCCACTTAACATATGCAGCAGACTACTTTAAACCCTGCTGTGTCATGATGTTACAGATTATTATGGAAGCAACCGAACATAAGAGCAATGTAGGCTTACACAACATACTGCTACTGTCTTGCCTTCATTATAACACACAAAGCTGAAGTCTTCTGGAATCTTCTGCTTTCCCCATTAGAGGAGGGGCTCAGACTCATACTGTTCTAGTATCAAGTTCCAGGGAGACGGCATAGCCTAGCCATCTAAACATGCAGCTGGAGCCAGGAACTTCTGAGACCTAATAATGGCTCTGCTGCTAACTCTCTATGGTGAGCTTGGGCAAATCACTTAGCATCAGAGTCTTAGGCTATATCTACCCTAGGACTTATGTTGGCAAAACTTATGTCGCTCAAGGGTGTGAATAGCGAACCCCTCTGAGCGACGTAAGTTTTGCTGGGTTAAGCGGCAGTGTGCACAGCACTATGTCAGTGGGAGACCGTCTCCCTCCGACATAGCCACTGCCCCTCGTGGAGGTGGTTTTATGTCAATGGGAGAGCTCACTCCCATCAGCACAGAGCAACTACATGAGCGATCTTCCAGCCTTAGTTTCCCTATGTATGAAAACAACAACATACAAGGGTCTTGTAAGGACGGGTAAGGGTTTGTGCAGCACCGTGACAACAGTAAGTGTTATGACATGGTTCAAGCTATGAAGGGCTGATAACTGAAATGGGAAGTTGGGCTTGGCTTTGGTGCAGAACTGAGTGCAAAATTTGTGACCACATCCTGTGCAATGAGAATGCCGTGAAGACAGACTGGTATTAATTAGAAGCTGCCCACAGTTTACAGTAGGCGGTCTCAAAGATCAAGAGACAAGACTGATCAAGCAGTGGAGTTTCCCCCCAACAAAAAACAAACCTCCACTTTCTACCCCAAAGAGCTACCATCTCCCCATCCTAAGCAGATGGCTGGCATGTATATACCCCCTGGATGATCAGACAGCAGTGCTGACTGACTCTAGACAGACCTGCATTTATCCTCCTAACCAGACAATGTGGCTATGTTGTAGGCAGAGGAGAAGTGGGTAGGGAATAGTCGTGTTAGAGAGGCAGTTTGTTTCACCTCTAGGCAGGAGAGATCCTCAATGGGTGGGTGAAAGTGAGAGAGAGCTGCCATAGAACTACTGGTCTGGCAAAAACCCAGAAACACCCCTGAAAACTCTGCCTCTGGGGAGGACAGGGGAGTAGGCATCCACCCTCTCTGGAGCAATGCTATGAGGGAAACTAACCTGGATGTGGGGAGAAACTTTAACAAAAGCCACAAAGAAAAATAAAGCCTGGAGCTGAATTGCTTCCAAGACCAAGCTCCACAGGAAAGAGCGGCAGGCTCGCAGGGCCAGTTTTATGAAGGTTTATTTCGGACTAGATTTCCTGTGAGAGTCACTCTCACCAATAGGGAATATGGAGTCAATTCTATGCAGATGGTTAACAGGTCTTATTTTAGGTCATGTGTCTACAAAACCCCCCACAGTGACATAACTTTTTTGGGTAGGGTAGCATAGCTGAACCCATGAAAATGCATTTGGAAAAGACATGGGAGGGGACATAAGAAACCCCATTGCTTGAACATATCAATTTTAAAAGGATTATAAACCCAGTACATTTGATGGGCATAACAGGTTTGCCTTTTGCTCTGGAAGTTATTTTCTAGAGATATGCTGAAACCAGACCCTCAAACCTCTTTAAAATTTCCGGAGGGTGAAGAGAATCTGAGATCCCAAGTGCCAGATCCAGATTTCTCTGTGTTATGATTTTGGTTCCAGCTCAGAATGGCTTGAGAAAGCCATTCCTGTGACACTGCATCTCACAATGGCAGGAATCTCACAACAGCAGCTAATCCTATGAAACTTTGGACCCAGCAAATCTAAACCCTGGCCCTGATTCAGCTTCGAATTTGAACACCATCCTAAACCTAATTTGGATCAAAGCACTCTTCTTCATTTTATCTCCATTATTTCCCTCTAGACCCATGCCCAAATCTCTCTGTCCAGGATAAACCTATAAAGATAACATTGGTCAGTGGATTCTCAGGTATGCAGCTGTATTAGGGTATTGAGGATAGAAGGTAAATGATTCAGAAGAATCAGTTAGTCAATATGCTCTTCAGGTTTATTTGTCTTTACTTCATTTGTGCATTAGGCCATAAGGCATTAGCCATCTGCAATGGCAGAATAGTGGCAGCAAGCAAAACAAAAGCTTTGTGGGGCATTCTCTGACACAGACTCATTTTTCACTTCTACAAAGACAGGCTCAAACCCCAGATAAAGTCACTCGCACATCAGTGACTGGCCAAGATTTTAAAAAGTGACTAGTTAGTTATTTTTTGGTGCCCATCTTGAGACACCTTGAAAGGGCTTGAGATTTTCCGAAGTGCTGAGTGCCCACCTTCGAAAACAGTTCCTTTAAGGGGTCTCAAATTGGCCACCCAAAGCCTATTAGTCACTTGGAAAATTTTGGCCAGTGTGATTATTGGTGTCAAAACCATTGCAGGCTCTGCTCTGCAGAGGCCCTGGCCTTGGGAGAGAGGGTGATGCGCCTCAACCAGGACCTCACTGGCAGAGCAGTGCAGGAAAGGTTGACAACAGCTATGCCTGGCTTTATCCCCTCACTTTCACGAACACCCCTCAGCATGTGTGAAGTGCAGGCCGACGGGATACGCATCCTGAAACTAAAATATCTGTGTACATGAACACATTTTTTCCAGTCACGAAAAAGATATTCTAATCCTACATTTAGGCCAAATTATGTCCTGACAAACCATAAAGCCCCACTGATTTCAAGGCAGGGCAGAATTTGGCCCTTTCAAAAAATGTAAACCAATTATGCTAGACAAATAGTAGCTGCTAGGAGGCGCAACACACACAGCTGTTCAGATATGCTCTGCTGCATTTATTTTATTTTGTTTACAATTTAAATGGATTTTAGACTTTAACAAGGTTGCCCAGTTTTCTGCTGATATTATGCCCAAGATTAAAAGCTCTTCCACTTCATTTCTCAGAAACTCCTTGTAACTCTTTGGGACTTTAGCTTAAAATAGAAGCCTCCCAGTTTGCCATGTTCCTAAGCATAGATTTAATTCAAGAGAAATTTGATCCCCCTCCAGGAATCTTATTACTATTCACTATTTGTCAAAGTAAAATCTTTCTCCTGTGCTTCAGAGCACAGGGGTTAAAATCTCCCACCATTAAGCCTTCTGTACTGGGCATAAGATACTGCAAAACAAAGTGGACAGGACTGGTAAACAGGATTAGTAACAGTTGTGTGGTAGGGATATCAGATAAATCTGTAAATTCTGTTAAACAGCGGTTGAAAGATTCCCAAATATGGGAGAACAAATGAAGCCCTCTTATATTACTGCTTGCCAGGATACTGCCACACTGCCCTTACTGATTGGGTATTGGGGCAGCTGGCTACACCTGTCTCTTCCTCCCCCAGCCCAGCTGCTCAATGCTCTCTTGGATCCAGACCAAGCCTATGCACTGGAGGTTGGTTGACTCAAGTTATGTCAGCATACAGCTGCTGACTTGTCTGCCACTCAGGCACATGGCTAAGCAGTTGCTTGCGTCAGAGCTACACAACAAGTGCTTGTGTCAAAGTAGAATGTGTTGCACCATGTGTAGGTATCTTAGTAGACCCCATGCTACTTTCCAGCTCATTGCTGGTATCTCACAAAGCATTTCACCCAGGGATCCAGTTCCCACTTTCTCTATCCCATAGATGTTGTGCCTTTTTAAAAACTCCACAGCCCCTCACACCGCTTTTCAGGCTCTACCAGATCTCTGGCAGAAGCATGGACCCTGCACAGCTCAGCATAGTTCTCACAAGTGTTGCTAATACAGGAGGTACAATTCACCTGTGTTAGAAATGTCCAAATTATTGTAATTTATTTATGTAGGGCCTTGTTTTTGCAGACAATAATAAAAAGGTACAGTTGTATGTTGGTGCCTCTGGCCCCCACAGATCCCCCTGGTGCTCACTGCATCTCCTGGCCCCCGCTGCTTCCCCCTCCCATTGCCCTGAGCTCCCTTCCGTAGCCTCATACCCCAGGCTCACCCTGTTCCTGGCCTCTTGACCACAGCACCAGATAAGACCAGCCCCGTGACTGAAGCTGGGAGGAAGGGAAGAGCTGAAGCCCACCCCCAGACTCCCATGGTGGAAGCCCACCCCTGGACACTGCAGGGAGGAGCCGCTGCTTTGCCCCTCCCCCATCTCTGCCCAGGAGGCTGTCATGGCCGCAGGAAAACCCCTTAGGGCCACATGCAGCCACAGTAGCTGCACTTGAGAAATGCTGGCTTTGAAGACCATTTTAACAGTCAGCCACAGTAGTGTTATGTTGCTTATAATGTGTGCCTCATGTGTACTTATTTGCTTTTACTTAGTATAGCTTTTACTGCTATGTATTCTGTAATGTGGGGGGTAGGCTAAGCAAGATACTGAGTTTCCAAAAATTCAGCAAAGAAACAGGCAACAAAATCAAAGAACAAACACACACAAGATTAAAAACCTTTTATCAACACTAACTGGGTAAACCGTATTTTAAACCTCCAGTAAAAATAGAATTAAAAAGCAAACATTCATGTCCATGTATGTAAAACCTAATAACGGACTATTTTCACAAGTTTTCACAGCTTGGTGTACGTGTAGCTATTGCTCTCTTTGCTGTCCCCTGTGCTGTGGAGTGGTAGGGGTAAGGGGGTAACACCATGCTGCCACCTGTGTGTTGGGGTTGTAGGGAGCAGTGACAATGGAGTTCTCCAAGGACTGGAAAGGCTGCTGAGTTCAGGATCTTTGAGTAATGCTTTGCAACATTGTTTGTTGCTTGAGTAATCCCATTATATCCTGGTGCATTTTCCAGTGTGCCTCTTGGTCCTTTTGCTTCTCCTGCAGTAGCCACTCTCTCCGTTCCCAGACCTTTTCCATGGTCATGGGGCCTCTCCAAGTCCTGCATTCACAGTCTGAAGCCATAGAGGATTGAAGAATCTTGCAGAACAGATCCTCCCAGTCCTCTTCTTGCTCCTCCTGTTGAGGGTCAGATGTTCAGCAGGTGCAGAGGGGCACCCCTCGAGGCCCCTGATTAAAACAGACACGCTGCTGATTAAAACAGACAAATGCACCATTAGATTTGCAACTGCCATGGAAAGGAAAAGACGTGTCAGAATTCCTTTCCCTTACTCCCATAAATACCTTTAGAAATGCTAACTGTCACTTCAGCTTTGGAGTTGATCACTACAGCACCATTCTGCAGCTCAAACCATAGTCAGTATGGCCTAGTGGCGGGGGAGGGAGAAAAGAGGACGGTGGAAGCTATCAATGTTGGGCTCCCCTACCTGGGTATGGGTATAAGGAAAGTGCTGAGAGTGCTGGCAATATTTTCCACAGGCCACAGCGATCCGGGCTGATACTGACTCATGAGGCACAAAGGCAGAGAACCCAGCTGCTGGCAGCATCCCAAAGCCGCCCGTGGGCTCCAAGCCTGTTGTCACCTGGCGCCATTGCAGTACTCACCACGGGAGTGGCATGGCATACTCCTATCACAGTAGAAGAAACCAGGCTGCCATCCCTAGAAATCATTGGGAACGGACTGTAAAGTATCTCCATGTGCGTTTCATGGAGATCTCTCAAGAAACTAAAACGGACAACCCTACACAGATAAAGTACTCTGCCCTGGCTCCCTGCCTAGCTCAACAAGCCAAAGGACTGAAAAGCAGATGCCAACTTCCTGTTTGTTCCACCGCTACCCGAGCGCAGGACACTGATCTGAAGGGGACGGTGTTATCCGACAGCCATAATGGTGTTTTTGAATTTATTCCCTATTCCCATTACATTAGGGAAGACAGCCTTCAAAAGGGAGTGCCTCTGTTTTGAGGTTGCGGATGGAATGGATGCCATTTCTAAATGGGGAAGAGCAGAGAGGGAGGGAGGTGACTTTTGGGAAGTGAAAAGCAAAGAAGTGAAAACAAAAAAGGAAAAACGCATGTAGACACTTACCAAACTCCCTTCCCCTTCACCAGCAGGTTCATCCACGCTTGTGTGGAGGGGCTGGCTCAACTCCAGCCAAGTTTCAGATAATTCCTGGCTTGCAGCATGCTTTGAGTCCACCGTCACGTCTTTATGTCCCCATGCATCCACCTCCTCCTCCTGCTGACAGGAGTCTCCACCTTGGGCTCCTGCAAAGTGACCATCGTGGTCTGCAGGGTGCTGGTGGGGTCGCTGCCAGGTATGGCATGCAGGTCACTGCAGAAGCAGCTGGGCTGCATGACCGCACCAGATTTGTTGCTGCCCTCCCTGGCCTTCTGGAAACCATGACAATTTGCTTTCATGGGACCCTGCTGCTCGTCCCTGTTTCAGCATCCCCCTGCACAATTGGCACAGGCCATCAGGAAACAGCATTTCAAAAACCTAAAGGGGCAGGTTTTGGGTTTCTATGACCCCTGGGCAATGAAATTCAAAACTGTGACTAGAACAACCACTCTTGCAGGAACAGCGGTATTGTGGTACAGCTGCTGGAGGAGTCAGTCAACACAAAAACACAGCCGCTACACTTGCTCTGCACAGCTCTACGCCACACAGGGAGGGAGGTGGTGTTATTGTTAGGGTTACCATCCCATCCCTTGACTCCCTTATGTCATTGATTTGTCACATGGGTAAGGGAAGGCCAAATCAAATTTCTGGAGCAGCACTAAGCAATGTAACCATTGGTTAAACCTTGTTTTCAGTGTAGAATTCAGCCTGAAGAAACTTAGCTTTTTAACAAGTAACCACAAGCTAAATATAGGCTTTCCTTTTGTGTTGTCCTAAGACTGCAATGAATTGCACATCTGAAATAAAAATCATGGATACGACTTCTTCTTTGAGACTTTGCCTGTTAAAACAGGATAAATATTCAGCAGTGTTCCCCCCACTCCCACCCCGCTCCCTTGGCAGGGCTTTGTTTTTGCACTTGCAACACAGGTAAGGAGATGCCAGGAAGAATTGAGAAAGCCATTAATGAACGTTTCCCTTTCCAGAATTCTAAGTAAACAGCAAATGCTGGCCACATACGAGCACGAAGATGTTTTATTGCAAAGAAGGTTCAGAGAGTACTGTGTGCAGGGGAAAACTTAAGCTTTAAAACATAGTAGCCAGCTCCTCCTTATCCCAATTTCTTAAAACTTGTGGAATTTATTATGTCCATTCCTATCTCAAATGTAGCAGTGAAAAGATTATTTTCCTCGTGTAAACAGATCTGGACAGATTAACAGAATCAATATTTAGCTGGTTTCTGCAATATTAAGCTTCAAATTAACTTTAATTTCAATTGCACATGTACACAGTTTTATTAATTGATTTTAAAACCGATGTATTGAAATGTATTAAAACTGATAATTACCATTTTAAACCTTAAAATTGCAGCTTGTGATAATTGCATTGTATACCTGAGGGCAACAGAAATGAACACCCAAGGAAAACAAATACACAACATACTAAGGGAAAAATTTCTTTAAAATGTTGTTTAAAATGAAGTGTTATCCCTTATTTTTCATGTGTTTCCCCCTTATTTATATCCAACAAAGGTGGACATACAGTTATTGTGTTGCTGTAACAAGGTGCTTACGTTGGCACGAGACAAATTTTAATGTAAATGCACCTCTATCCCGATATAACGCGGTCTTCGGGAGCCCAAAAAATCGTACCATGTTATAGGTGAAACCGCGTTATATCGAACTTGTATTGGTCTCAAGCACTTCTGTTATTAAAGCAGCCCCACCCCCCAGAGCATGTGTTATATTAGGGTAGAGGTGTATATGCACAACTAGGATGATGCAAGTCACTTACGCCCACCAAACTGCAGGGCAGAGCAGGCCCAAGCAATGAGAGCAGGGGAAGACAGATATTTTCTGTTTGTAGTTCCTTAGCTCAGTGGCCTTAAGGAGAAGCTGCAGTCCTGCTGGAAGTACTGATGGGGCTACCAAACATAGGTGTTCGGAGAAGCACAGCACTGAGCAGCCCTACAAACTTCTCCTCCAATGAAGCAATCTGGAGAAAACTCCCCAAGGAAAAGCAAAAGCTAGGAGAAATGCTCCCCCTTTGGCCCCTCCCAGGGGCAGGAGCAAACAAGCCCAAGTATGGTATGGAAAAGATCTGTTGAGAGTTCTTCTCAGTTGTAAGCTAGTACTGCCTACATGTATCAAAATAAATGTCTCCAGTGTTAGAAGGCAAAATCCAAAAAGGAACTCCATGCTTTATAAGCTAGTCTAAGCATATATAAAGTTAATTTCTCAAAGTCCAGCCAACTGTTTATTATGGCATGATTGGGACTTGTCCCCATGCCTTCATAGTTGTATGTTTGGCAGCTAGAAAAAGTATCTGGCTTAAGTCTTTGAAAGTGTCTGTGCTTTTTCTTAATATTTTTACAACTACTTATACGGCTGTACAGCACCTAAGCACAATGGGGCCGCAATCCTGATCAGGGTCCCTCAGTGCCACTATAATATAAACAGACACATGTCAGGTATCTGGAGGGGATATTAATTTAATAAACTGGAGAACCACGAGACACTGGAACCGTGTGATGATTCTAAAATGTTATTCTGAATTTTATTGATCATACACCACTGATGAAAACATGGCTTCGGCCCACTAATCCATCTCCCTGGAGCGGATTCTTACACTCCAAGCATTTAAGCAGTTTTAAACAGTCACCATTAACCCCCCTCTTCTCTCCCCTCCACTCCCCCAAAACAAAGCCACACTTCGAGAAGTGTTTTTAATTTCTCCCAAATGTTTTTAATTTCCCTTTCCCGCCCTCCACAAAACAAAAAATTAAAAAGACAGCACATACCTAAACCTAAGACAGGGCATGTTTAGTCCTAGACAAGTAGTAAGTACCAGTATGAAGCCTGATATTTGACAGCCATAAGGGGTTAAAAACTGGAATTTTATATCACTGGGAAACTGGACATTTCCAGCTACCCAGTGGGACTCCGCATGTTGTTATATTCATACGAAGTCCTGATATACCAATCCACAATATCATGATAGTTTTAGTATAATAAACTTATTCTAGAGATTTTAGGACTTCCTCTGAGGCACATGTAGATATACATATGATTGATGAAACAGTTGGCCTCTATGTACATACACAAGATTATGTGTCTACAGAATTTATAGTTGATATGTGTGTTTGCAAAGCACACACAGTGAGAACACTGAGTTCTGGAACAGCCAATACCTTTGTTATATTCAAACAAGGAGGAAGGCAGTGAGAGTTTGCCCAACAGGAAGGGATTTGCTTACTTTATTAGTGATACTAAGTGCTTCTGTAAGAGGGTCAATTATGAACCTGAAACTTACCACCAATGCCTTAAACTTTTTGCTTCAGGGGTCTCCAATACAGTTTGTTCTCCTAAAACAAAAAATGAGAAAAAAAATGTTTTGAAAGACTCTTCTTAAAGAGAAAGAACAACCTTCTCTGTGTGTACAATATAGAAACAAGTAATGCCATCTTTGAAAAGTGCCATTTGGCTGGCTGCAGTGGGTAAAGAACAGAAAGGTTGTATATTGTAGCAACAAACAGCAAAGAGACAGCTTCCATCACTGGGCTCTGATTTCGCCAAGGCACCTTGAGCAATGGCTATGCAAAGGGAAGGCAGTAGACTGGTCTGTAGCAGAAACTCTGGACCAATTCAGATTATTCAGTCTGTGCATAAAGCTTTTAAGCCTGGTTGCTACATCGCTTCCAGATGTATAAAAGAGTGATATGCTTGAATATTTGCTACAGAAGAGCTTGTATCTATGTGCTGGAGAAAAAGTATATTTGCAGCCTGCTGCCCCCATTGAAACAGGGTTGTGAGCCCAGGTGCTGGAACTAGAGGTGCTGGGGGTGTTGTCACACCTCTTGGGTTGAAGTGGTTTCCTTCATTTACAGGATTTACAGTTTGGTTCAATGGCTCTCGGCACCCCCACTGTAAAAATCGGTCCAGCACCCCTGGTTGTAAGGAAGCCCATTCTCTCAGGGACACCCCCTATTCATGGAGATATCCATTATCTCCTTCCTCTTATATTCCCCCCTCACAATACCTACTTAAAAACAGATCTTCTGCTCACTCCTTTACTTGGAATTTTCTTCAGCTAGCAGCCTGCTCTGAACTTTGCTTTCCATATCAGTGTCAGCCAGGTCACTGGAGTGGCTCAATAGATTGCTGGAGAGATCTCAAGGGCACCAGTTTGAGTCCCAACTACGCCAGCAGGGGCTAAAAGTTGTCACTCTGATCACTGGGATCTGGACTGAGATCACCAGTGTGACAACCATCCACATCTCAACTGGCACCTCCATGGGGAGTTCAGACTGAGTGAAAACTCAAATGCCTTTCTGTCCCTAGGGTAGGTCCCTACAGAACAGGGTTGAAGACCAGACTAGGAAACTGTTCCTGACACTGTCTGCATTGTACTTTCCCCCCCATTGTACAAGAAGTCCATTTCCAAGGCTATTTATCTGACGCAGTATGTGTGCGTTAAACATCCGCAAAATAAAAAAAATAAAATAAAATAAAGTTCCCACATGAGATCTAACATCGCACCTGAAGCTGAAGTTAAGTTGTCCAAAAACAAAACAAAACACAACCAAACAGGTTTATGAGTGAGATCTGATGGCTATCTGAGGGCTGAATGCTAAGTAGAAAGTAGGGTGCAGGACTCCATCGTGCCTTGTCTGGAGAATGGGACTATATTTCTCTGCCATTTATCCTAGTTCTTGACTTGAGTTTGCTACAGAAAGAGGTGGAAGATAGAAAGAGCAGTTTGATGTCAGTATCTAGTGGCCCCAAACATCTGAGTCAGATCAGTTAGCAAGGCCTTCAGAGGCAGGTACACGTACTGCTGATACACACTGCATTTCTTAATCCCTTTACTCGTTGGGGTGGGATTCTCAAAAGCACTCAGAGCTGGCCTTACTCTGCTCTCACTGAAGTCAATGAGAAAACTTCAATTGACTTCAATGGGAGCAGAGTTAGGCCAACATAGAGTGCTTCTGAAAGTCACATTCTAGAAACAAAGCACAGAGAAGAGTGCTCTGGTTAAGAATGCACCCTTCTCCCAGAGACTAGAAGAAACTGTCTTGTTACATCCCAGGCAACAGCCAATCTGTGCCTCTTGACACAGAAAAGATGACCTGACTGTACTGCAGGTACCGAAGTGGGAAAGCAGAGAAATCTGAAGTCTCATTAAACTAATGTATAACTGTGGTTTTCCAAGAATCTTCTAAACTTTCTGATACTCAGATATTGCAGCATTTGGTGACTTATAAACACCCACAAGAGGCAAACTCAGGAAGGACTCTAGGGCCATGACTCAGCATATGCTTAATCTTAAACAAGTAGTCCAATTGAAGCCAAAGGTGCTTTGCTGGAGTGGGGCCTACCTGAATTATACTATGGCTCTGTGGAAGACGTACATCTCAAGAGAGGTACAGAGGGGCTTTTGGGGTTCAAAGCTGTTCCGTCCAATTCTCTCGCAATAGTCTTATCCTATAGATGAAGATGAATGCACAGCTGTTTCTCTGCATCAATATCATTCTTCCTGATATATATATCAGTGAAGCTGAACTGATATATCCAAGACCTCCCCTGTGGCTTGAAATAAAAACCTTTTTCCCCTGCCCCTTTAACATTACCAGGATGTTAAAACTAGGGTTGATGGCAAAGTAATGGTGAACATTGGGTATCAAACTACCCAGAGCAAGTTCAGCAAAATGTCCCAGGTTAACACTTCACACAGAAAAAAGGACTTCCTGCATACAGATCTGGAGCTAGAGACACTGGTGTACTGAGTACCAGGACCTCTCATGAAATTTGAGGGTGTGTCAAATCACCTTGCTGACCAGTTTTTTTTTTTTAAACACAACACACACACACACACACACACACACACAGAGTCCAACAGATTTTCTGCATAACAAGACTCCTGTATAGGGTTGCCAAACCTCCTGGATTTTATGGGAGTCTTCGGGAATTAAAGATTAATCTTTTTAACTGAAGATTGTCATTTGATGAAACCTCCAGGAATACGTTCAACCAAAATTGGCAACCCTACTCCTGTACAAATATCAAAGCATGAGAGCATTAGAGAAAAGAGACTGGAAAGTTTCTGTACCTAATCTGGAGATGGTAACTTTCATTATCCAATTCTGTATTTAAGTGGACTACTTTTGTTTATACTAACAGCAGATCTGACCTTTCCTCCCCAGAGCATAAATATGTAGAGATACTCTGCACTTCTATAACGCTCCTAATGTATAGCTCTCAGAGTACTTTACAGAGCATAGGGCGGGAAGTATTATTCCTTCCATTATACAAGTAGGGAAATGGAGGCACAGAAAAAATCAAGTGACTCACCCAAGATTACAGAGAGCAGGAAATGGAATTCTGATCTCAATTCCTAGTTCCACATGCAATTCACTAAACAGCTGCTGTTCCACAGTCCTGTGGTACATCTCTTACTTGGGCAATATCTGTAATGAATGCTTGTGGAAAGGGGCACCTGTCCCTACTGAACAGAAGTGCAGTTAGCAGTTCTGGATTACCTGTTTCTTGTAGAGAGACTAAGAGTAAGGCACTCTCAGACCTAGTCTGTACACAAACTTGAGCTAGTTGTAACTAAATCACATCTTTAGTTAAACCAGTGAAAACCCCTCGCTGAATATGTATATCTGTTTGTACCTGGTTCTCCAGGTTTAAAAATGAAATTAAGTGTATCCACATAAAGTTGCATCAGTTTAACTAAATCAATTTTAAAAAACCCCACCCCCCGCAAAAAACAAAAAAAACAAAAAAAACCACACCAACCAACCAAAACCCAGAACCACCAGATTTTAGGTAAATAAGTTTAAGTTTGCATAACATCAAAGCCTCAGACACAATACGAGCTTGATGCAAATACAGAGAAATGTCATAATGCTTCTCATGAAAACAGTTTAGATTAGCAGTAATGAGTGGACTAGCCAAAAAATTAAGCTAACTCAGCAGCACTGTTCTTTAAAAATCAAAGCAAAACATTTTTAGAGGCTCCCCGTACAAGTTATGTGGTGTAGAGACATTTCTTGTAATCTAACACCTCAAGGAATTAAAATGGTCAGGCGTTACTAAACACTGAGTAACACCCTCAAGTTAGAATTTTAACATATATTTCCTTAATGTGCTAAGCATAACAGAGCTTATACCTTGGCAGAGAGACAACACTGAAGCAAGCTTGCCAAAAAGCAGAGCTACATCATGACAAATCCACTGTAACAACTTCAAACCCATATTAAAACAAAAAAAAGCAGGATTTTGGCTTTTTATTTTTACAGCAGTGCTGCTGCATCACCAAGGTGACTGAAACAGAAGCAATGAGTTACATGCCTCCTTTTCCAACCCCACACACAATGGCATGTGGTAAATTACAGACTTAAGAGTTGCTGAGTCACACTCAATAAGGTAGAACTGTGGTAACCGAATCCCCACACATTTGGATCAAAGCATATAAAACTTGTTCAGGCAACAGTATGCAATGATCTCATTAAACTTTGTGCATGGTGGGGTTTCTTATTCCCAGAATTACTAGACTAAGCAACTACGAGTTTTATAAAGAACGCCTTCACCCAGCAGCATGTGCTTGTTTCTCCATCCCAATTTATCTCCCTCCATTTTACCCCTCCTCCATTTTATTCTCATTATATATGAGGTCTCCAGGCTCTTGTTTCACTCCCCTCACTACACTGGAATTTCCTTCCCCTTATTGAGTGTTCAGTCCTGCATGGTGCGAAGTACTCTGACTCCAATTCACCAGAGTCCCATTGACATAAATAGAACAATTACTTATTTAAAAGTGGACCACAAGGCTAGTTACTTCATTGGATTATGGCCAGCATGCTCAGCACCTTGCAGGACCAAGCACTTAGAAAGATATGGGATATACAGAAAAAATGACGGACTGTATTTATTTTAAAAAGGGGGGGGGGGAGAGAATCAGATCTATTACTGGTCAATTCAATAATGTTTTATTGGTATTAGAATAATCATTTTTACTGTGGTAGCTCTCAGAGGCCCCAATCATATTCAGGTCCCCACTGTACTGGGGGTTGTATAAAACACACAAAACATTCCCCAGCCTTAACAAGCTACATAAGTGTTGTAAGAACAACATGTAAGAGCCCTTGGGTTTTTGGCAGAGGGAAGCCCAGGATGGTGAGACAAAGAACTAGTGCCAAGCCTGTAAGGGACAGGGAGAGAAACTGGAACACTAACACAACAAAGCAGCCAAACATGACCTATACACTAACAAACAGGCAAAGGAGACTCACTCAATAACAGATGTAGGCTTCCCAGCAGTTAACTCCCAGCCTTTCCCTCCAAATTTGTACTTTTCTTTACATTTCTGGTGGCCCTCCCACAGAAATGTTAACCCCTGGGCATCACAAACCTTCCATCAATCAATATTACTTGCAAATCATCCATTTCTAGAGTAGTTCCCACCACTTTCTGTTTTTCTGCTCACCCCAGGAAACAAAATAACCTCCAAATACATTTTAAAAATACACATTCCACAGGCCTGTGGAAAGACAATATTTACTATCCTTCTTTTATCAGGATAAGCACTACTGAGATGAATACAGTAAATAAGATTTTTGATAAATTAATTCACAAGAGATCATCTTGATAAGAGGGTTTTCCATCCAAAAATGTTTTCTCTACTGTCCAGCAGATTGCATGGTGTTCTAATTAGCTTTACCCATCTTAAAAAACACTAGAATTTAATACACTGGAATTTTGCCAGAACAAAACCCAATCAAACACCATTTACCCTCTGCACAGTAACTGTAGAAAGCTATCCACTGCTATCCCATCTACAAAAGCTATCTGTAATTCTAGTTCGCACGAGGTGTCTAAAGGAGTTCCTGTTTCTAGGGCAGCATATTATGAGCACCAAGGATTTCAGCAAGACTTGGAATAAAAGAAAATGACTGGAACTTGGCACCTTGATATCTCTATGTGCCAGCCTAACACTATCACACATTCATACACATATTCATCATCATAGCAATTGGTCAAAATCTCATCCACCAGGATAACAGTCTCCAGATTTCAACCAGCACAAGCAGTTTATTTCACGCCGTTAATTTCCTAAAGGCCGAAGGACAAAGTAACAAGAACTAGACAGCTTTGTTCCCCAACTCCGACCATCGCATCAACGTTCACCTTACAGCATCCAGCAGGAGAGGCGGCTGACTCCAATCTCCACCATTGCCTGTATTTATTTGGGGGGGGGGGGGGGGATATAGCGATGTAACGATGGCGCGGGGCTGGGGCACAGAGAATACCTTCGCTCCCTTTCGGGAAATCTCCAAATCAGACGAAGAAGGGAGGGAAGGGAAGGGGAGGGGGGAGAGGAGAAAGCTAAACCCATTCGCCAGCGCCAAGACTGCCACCTGGGTAACCTGACCTCTGGCAACCCCATCTACCGGCTGCAGCACAAGCTGATGCAACCGGAAAGCGGCAGGGAAGAGACACGCCCCGCACAAAGAACAGGCAACAACGACGAAACCCCGGCAGTGCGGCGCATCTCCCCAGCCAACGGGAAGCCCGCGGGCTGCCCAGGCCGCTTCTCCCTCAGCCCGCTACCCCACGTCCGACCTCTCCCATCCGCACGCCGCTCGCACGTGCCTGGCCCGGCCGGGCGGGCGGGAAGAGAGGCGCGGCAGCAGCCCGAGTCCCGCTGCGCGTGGATGAGACGCCCCGCGCCGCAGCAGCCGGTGCCCCGCGCGCGTGCGAAGGGAAGTCTCCCAGGCGTTCCCCCCCCTCCAGCTTTTGGAGAGGGAACGCGCGCTGATTGGCCGGGCCGGGGGCGGAGGGGGACACGCCCCACCAATAGAAAAGCAGAGTCGCTCCCGCGCCTGTGTGCGGCCGGGGGTAGAGGGGTGAGAGTTTGCTGCGGGAGGGTGTAGCTGGCCGGTTTGTCTGCAGCGCCCACGCAGCAGCTTTCAGGCTGCCTAGGGCGAGGACGCATCCTAGGTCCGTCCCTCTAGCCCATCAGATAAGCACCAGCATCCACTCTAGAAGGAATGGGGCTACAGTATTTTTTCTTCTACCGCTCCAGGGAGCTAGCTACAGATATATGCCAGGGTCCTGCAACCGGACTTGTTCAGGCAGGCCCCTTTGTCCACACAGATGCCATTACAGGAGTAGGGTCGTACACACAGCAGCTCTGCACTGGTGAAAGCTGCTGTGACTCTGGTGATGGGTGCCACCAGAAGAACCTAGAGGGATATTAGTGAACAGATGTAGAAATAAGTTATTTTACAGCATTTCACACAGCAGCAATAAATAAGAAAGTGTGGTTTTGTGTTTTAATGGGCAAAGGAGGGTTGGATCCTGAAAGGTACAGAGCACTCAGGCCCTGTCCCAGGGAAGAATTTAAACTCATGCTTAACTTTAAGTGTGTGAGTAGTCCCACTGGATTTAACCATATGCTGCAGCAGGGACCAGAGTGTTCCATGCTTTGCTGAAGGGAGTCTTCCAGTTGAAGCCCTTTAAGGACTCAGGCCAGACCCTCAACAATATTTGGACACCTAGCTTCCGATGATTTCAGTGAGTTAGGCACCTAAATACCTCTGAGGATCTGGGCCTGAGTCCCCAAGCTAAGGAAGACACAAGCATGCTGCCACAGTAGCCTTGTGATGTCAATCATTCAAATAAGCAGTGAACTTGTAACTGAGGTTTTACATGTAATTTAGAGATAGTAGGCCAGCAGCTCCCTGTTCCTGTAGGAGTAGCATTTTCATCCAATCTAAATTTGATCTCACCTCTCCCACTCCTTGTGGGGAATACATCCAACTCCTGCAGC